GGCCGCTTGTCAGCGGAGCGGCCCGCTTCTCCTGCCCCGGCGCGGCGTGAGTACACGCCGCACACCCCTGACAGGGGCCCCCCCCCCGCGGCAAGAAGGGCCCGTTCGGCGGCGCCCCAGGGACGGGCGGGGGTCGCCTCGTCACACTGGCACGCGGAAGGCGGGGCCAGACAAAAAGGTCTCCACGGGCCGGATGAGAGGGCCTCGCGGGCCGTAGTTTGGAGACCCCTGATTTAGAGCATCAAACCCCCCAAGGATATAGATTATAGGTCTGTCAATTTATCTGCATTAACGCCTGCGATTAACGCATGAATGGCAGGCATTAATGCTGTGCTGCCCCTTTGAAGTGCCGTTCCAGTGCTTCAAAGGGGCAGCACATTAGGAGCCTGGGATTAGCTGGAGTCCCCAGCTGACCTTGGGTTCCGGGCAGCGCTGCTCCTTTGAAGCACCGGAGCAGCACTTCAAAGGGGCAGCACATTAGGAGCCTGGGATTAGCTGGAGTCCCCAGCTGACCTTGGGTTCCGGGCAGCGCTGCTCCTTTGAAGCACCGGAGCAGCACTTCAAAGGGGCAGCACACAGGATTAAATTTTTTAATTGAGTGATTAATTGTGATTAATGTTTTTAATCACTTGATAGCCCTAATAGATTACCATTGAATAGGTTTAACATCTTAACAGAAAATTCCCTTTACCAAGGCCATGATGTGAGCACTTTGCTACTAGGGTCATGAAGCAACTGAAATATAGATCTAGCTAAGGATGCTATTTGTTTTCTTTGTACAGAATCCCTTAGTGAGCCTGAACCATGTCACATTCAGGTTAGGCTGTGATATACCCCCTTTAAAAAAATGCATTTGAGAGATCTCCCTTTGAAATATAAAACAGCTGCTATTTCCACAAAGAAAATACTTACTTAAAAAGATAACTCTACCTTTACAAGAGTCGTCAATAGGACTGGTGTTTAAAGAGCCATTTTGATGTTCTTATTTCAGCAATGAATAACCTCTCAAATTTGCTTTTCCTGTTTTCAAAATTAATCTTACAGACATCACCAAGTCTTTTCTAATAAACCTTACTCGATGTTGCTATGACATGCCTTTGTTTGCTTCAACTACAGCAAAAAAGCTTTAGGAGAATTTTCAGAACATAATCAACACCTAAACATTTAAATCCCTCTCATACTGCCTGGTTGAAACACCTCAAAATTTGGGCAAACATCATCGAACACCACACATTTAAAGCCCAAGTGACTTACAGGATAAAAATCACATATAAATGGGAATAGTCTCAACTTTAACTGGAGAGGTTACTGCCTCTTCCTAAATCTAAGCACAAAGTAATTATCTCTATTAATTTTTTTCCCCAACAGGTGTTACACGTTTTCTCTGTAGTGTCTTTCTTGTCTGTTTGGAATGCATCAGATATGAAACACCTAAAACATGCTCCAAATCAGCAGAAAGCTCATCACCAACTCTTATACAAATAGGCATATTTCAAAATACAAAACTGTACCAACCATATCATTTTAATTTACTTTTAGTATATACATTGACACTCAAAAATGTGATAAAAACAAATACACATCATGATGAGATACAGACTGCAAAGTTAAATAAAAAGCAGACTTTACAGGTTTGGATGAACATAAACTACAATAAGTGCATAGGCCAAACGTTTCTTGCTATTTGAGTAGCACAGCAAAAAGGAAAAAATGAATGTTTAAAGTGATATTGCAAGACTATAATCTCAATACAACAACACATGCATCTTGCTGTGTCTTAAATACTTTTTTTGGACCATTACTAAGAGTCCCCCCCTTATGCGGAACAATGTGTTATACCACAGAACCTTTATCCATAGAATGACTAATTAATTACAGGGCAATATTTTTTCTCTAGTTAATAGTTACTTTAAAGGATAGGAATTTTCTACATTTTAAGAGATTTCAGGTAAATACTTGGAGCATTTATGTTCTCCTCTTGATACAGGCACATAATTTCCATTAGTTTTAAGGATAACATGTGGGCACTGAGTAGAATACACCCACTTGGACTCTATTTATCCAAAATTCTTGCAACTGTGAGTACCAATTATGCAGAAAACATGAAACAGGCTTTCAAAAGCACAAGAGCCTTGGAAGTCAGTTTGTGGTCAAGTGTTCCATTTTTTAAAGCAAAGATGGAGGCATAGATGTCTTCCCTTTGTTGATGGGTACATATAAAATATACATCTCAAGTCAGTGGGCTTTGTCAATATCCAGAGCATGACTGTCAGTTATCACTAGCAGAAAGAGGAAGGGGAAACTTTACAAGAAAATAAAAACAGTTTTGAGCCCATGGTGTCTGTAAGGCAGAAAGAGGATTAAACCTTTTCCATTAAAAAAGAAATTAAGACAGTTTTGGCCAGTTGATAATCTCAATGAGTCAAAGAAAATTAAATCAAACCAGATACAGATTAAATGTATTTGCAGGTAAGAAGAATCCGGTTTGGCCCTCATGAACTAGGAGAATAGGGTAGGCATATAAAGATTATTAAAGATAAAGTCTTGCTCAGTTTCGTCTCTCCGTAGCCTGAGATATTCAATAAAACTGGGTAACTGGGTATGACCACAGATTAGATAAGTTCAGATAGTGGGCCAGATCCTCAACTATTTACTGTATATGAGCACAGTTCCACTAAAATAAATGTTGCTACTATAATTTACATGTTGGGAGATTTAGTAGTATCCCATAAACCATATGACGTGAATTTTTTTTGTATTATTGCCTCTCACGAACATCACACCACACAGAGTGAAAGTAAGGACACACTGTACGGTATATGTATTTTGAAGCATGTTTCAGCATTAATTTTTGTAAGTATTTTCACAAGTGGTTGTGTTCTAAAAACAAAAAAGTGAAATATTCCAGGTTATATTCACCTGGAGGCACCTCTATCAAGATTTTGACTAACTCTCCTCATGCTGGTAGTATACTATGTCCCAGGATACCTGAAAAAAAAATTAAAAAAAATCCGAAGAATATTATGCTCCCAATGCCATATCAAGAACAATCATGTCTTCTGAAATCATATTTCATAAAGCACCCAACTGTGATCATGGAATAGGGAGAGAAACTCTTTTTTCTAGGATAGAGCTTTCTTTAAACGGGTCATCCTTGAAGTCTTAAAAACAGAAGTAAAAGGCTATTACACTCCTGAAATGTAAAAGTGCATGAAGCTGGTTAATAGAAAACAAATATTTAAAATTATAGGTGTTTTACCAGCCAGTGTCACCAACTTGCATCTGGAACATTCTCAGGGCTTGTCTACACTTGAAATGCTACAGATGCACAGTTATATCACTACAGAGCTTCAGTGTATCCGGAGAGGTGGTATCAAAGTTTTAAAAAAGTCCTTCCATTGACCTAACCCAGGATGGAAGGCACTAGAATGGCTTCACTATGCTGCTCAGGGGAGTGAATATTTCATACCCTTGAATGACACAGTCAAGCTTGCTCAATTTTCTAGAGCAGTCCAGGCCTGAGCAAAATAAATTTTCATGTGTCACATGGACAAGCAAACAAGGGCTGGAGAATCTCTCTCAGATGAAAGGCCCAATTCTGATTACTCAAATGCTGCTGTGAATCAAGAGTAACTCTATTCATCAGAATTTCACCAAAGTGACATGCGAGTTACTGGAAACCCAAAGTCTCTACTAGGTCTGGCTCTTGCATGCAAGTTTCTACACAGGCTCAATTTTTGATTAGTTTGTTTATCAACGGAGACCTAAAACCTTGACTATCTGCAGGATGGAATAGTGCAAAACATTTTGGACAGATAGAGCCTTACATAAACTGAGACAAATTTGACCAAAGAAAAAAATAAATAGAAATTCACTATTGGTATCAAGTATATTGCAACATTAACTGGGCTTCAAGAATTTACCACAAGTGTCCACAGCTGTATAGTATTTGTATAAAAAGGTGGTTCTTCACTCAAGTAAAACTTTTAAAAAAATGAAATATGGAAGTTGTATAAAAAAATTAGAAGCAGCATATCAAAATTCTGCCCGAACCACAGAGTTTTCTTTAAAAATGAAGCATTTTAAAGATGTCTGACTTCACACTATATCATAATTTCAAGTGGCTTTTTTGTTTTTAAACTGGTCCAGCCCAGGTCTGTAACCTGTACAGACATGAAAAACAGGAGGAAATCACAATTATTGTTCAGAGCAAACAGAGCATGTCAGTTATAAAATGACAATGCAAAGGAAAATAGCCCTAAAATTGTTAACATGGGCTACTGACCACTACAGGGTTTAGATGACTTTGCATTAAAAAAAGTTAGAGGTCAAATATGCAGTATGTAGAGAACTTGGTAATTCTGACAGTGCCCTTAATATCTAGGCTTTTCATATTTTTTCCCATAACATACCAAACCACTTACAAATTTGGTTTTGTTTATATGTTTTTCATAAAAGCAAATTATACTGATAGACTGTTTTACACCAGAAACTACTAATGCACTCTTTAAGAACAGAAAAGTGTGCATATGCAAGTCAGCACAAGAGTTTCTTCTGTAACTTTTTAGAAAAATGTATTTCAAGAAAAAAAAAGCAGCAGCATCCTGTTTTGTCAAAAAACAAATAGTTTCACAGTTGAAAAAAATTAGTTACATTGGTTTACAATTTAATACATATTCCTTAAGTCACTTTTTCTAATGGCTTTGTCATAAAAATGTAAAGACAAACCCTGGGCTCCTTGCTCTGATTAGACTCCTCTGCAATTGGCTTCTATGGGAGTTTTGCTGGAGCAAGATGCTTAGATTCAGTCCAAGCACAAAAATCAACTTCTTTAATGTTTGCACAGCTGGTATTCAGAGCAGAGGGAACATTTTCAAACCTCTATTCCGGTTAAATGTCAATTGTAAAAAAACTATTTAAAAAAATCAAATTCCAAACAATATCAAAGTCGCCTATATATTTATGGTCTGCAAAGCAAATATTTTCCTGTAGCTGAGATAGTGGGTTTGATTCCCCCCCACATACCAGTTTAAGATAAGAGTAACTCCATGGAAGTCCATGGCATATTCGGGGGAAAGAGGGTGTTATTTTTTGTTAACACGAACTACTGTTTCAAATCCCTTATCCCCATCCATTATCTTCCCATGCTTCCATTTTCTTTAATTATAAAGTTACCCCAAACCTTATTATACCTAGGTTAGCTAGTTAGTTTGCTTTCTTCTAGTATGCATATAAGAACTCTTTTATAGCTCATGCAGTATTGTTGACGCAGTCTCTTCGAGATATCGGGTCTAATTTTTCACAACACTGCAACATATGCAAAGTGGGTGCAAAACACTACCATTCTGAGATGGCAGCATTTAACATGAGGTGCAAAATATGAAGAATCAAGCCCATAAAAATCCAACAAACTCGAGCGGACCTTTTAGTTCAGGTCCTAAAAGGAATCTTTCTATAGGGTAATATGTTATCCTTATGATTCTTCTTGTATTGAGACAATTAATGTGGCACTTTAACACATCTCTCTGTTAAATCATGAATTACAGCACTCAGGGTTTCAGATCTGTATCCTGTAACTGAATTTCTTGCTGGAACTAATCCCCAATTAAAAAAAATAAAAACTAGAACATTAGCATGGATTGACTGTACATAAGGGTAGTTGTGTTCTAATAACATTCATATCCAAGCAAAGGGACAGAGGACTGCTGGATTCCTCTAAAATGTTCTACAGAGATAAGACTAGCCATATTTCCCACTCAAGTCTTAGTATTTCTTGGTATTTTTCATGAAAACTGTGGTTTTTTTTTTTTACCATATTATTTAGTCAAGTACCTGTGTGTTCAATAAGCAACTGTAGGAATCAAATGACTAGAAAAGTGTCTTAAAAGGCCAAATAAAAATCTTAGCTTTACTGCTATCCACACCTTCTATAATTACACATTTTTAACACATTATATTTTGCTAAATGAATCCAACCACTCAATACTTCATAGATACAGCCTGTACAAAGTACAGTTTGTTTATAAAGTTGGACTCTAATACCAACTCTCAGCATATATACATCTGGTATTGCACTTTTTTGAGTGGTACCTACACCTATATGTGTTGGTCTGCGTGCAAATAAACCCGTCCGCTTCAAACTCCTGGGCTTTTGGAATTCATTTCAAATGCCGTGAATCTAACAAGTTTAAAACACTGGAACAAATCTCACCTTCAGAATCCTGGGTTTAGCAAGTTGTCAAAAATATTTCAGAGTTTATAAAAAACGTTCTGCCTGCAGCTGTGCATAAGAACAATCTAAAAAACTCTAGTAGTCTTGATACTTGCAAAAGCTGTTGCCTAACAATTTGATTATTCTCTTACTCACATTCTCACACAGAGCATTCGAGAAAGACAGAGCACATGTATAAAAGTGTGCATGCTATAAAATGTTTGTTTGGCAGCATCACATGCTATGAGCTTTCCAAAGTATTTACTATAAGTAGCTGGTACTCATTTTGAAAATGCAAATTTACTTCTTATGTGTTGTTTATAGGGATTAAACAGCTACTTTTAAAGAAGCAGGAAAGAGAAGAGAGAAAGAGAAAAGATGGACCCAGAGGCTGAGCATTTAGCCATACTTTCCTTGAACAGCCAGCATATCACTTAGGCCATGTCTACATTTACCAGTAGATGGCACTACTGCAGCTGATGCTGCCGTTTTGATTTAGTGGGTCTGGTAAAGACTTGCTAAGTTGATGGTAGAGTGCACTCCTGTTGACTCCTGTACTCAACCTTCCCAAGAAGAATAGGGTAAGTTGGCAGGAGAGCACCTCCCACAGACACCGTAGTAAGTCAGCCTAAGGTAGAGCGACTCCAGTTATGTTGTTCATGTAACTGAAGTAGTGTAACATAGGCTGACTTACCGCAGTAGTGTAGACCAGTCCAAAGTAATGTTAAGAACATTGCCTGAGATTCTTTGAAGAGATCAGGGACAAGTTCAATGCCGGCACAAGTGAGTACATCTCCCACTGATTTCAGTGGTACTTGTATCCTTTTACACCAGGGTTGCATTTGGTCCTGTGAGTACAGCTGAACACCAGTGACATTATGGACAACAGGAGTCTTGACACAGAGAACTGTGTTACAAAATTAAATGAGTGAATATGGGACAAATCATGTAAATAAAGAATATATATATATTAATAGTTCCTATTATATAAATAGCCTTTATAAAAATAATCTTTCAATAATTTTAACAACTAACCTTTTTCTAGGCTCTGGAAAACATGTGAAAAAGTCTATTGTGTTCAAGTTAGATTAAATCAAATCCCAAAGTGAACACTACAATGGTTTGTTGCACTAAACCCTATCCTGCTCATTCAATTTCTAAGTCAGTCAGTTGGGATGCTGGGGACCAGAGTTTTTGTGAAGCTATAATTTTCTTCCTTACAAATACTGTCCAGGAGAATACCACATATAGAAGGCCTATTTCCTACTTCTTTCAAAATGGCGCAAATGACAGACCAGAAGTCAAAGGTTCAATTAAAACCAAAATATATTATGCCTCTGACTAAATTTAAAGGAACTGTCCCCTCACTTTAATATTTTAAATCTGAGTTGCAAAACTCCTTCAATTTCAACACTATACCTACTATTTAAATACCTATGAAAACACTATGTTTTCTTCCTTTTCAATACTTTGCAACCCAACATAATCTTTAAAGTGATACCAGACCTACTGTAATGTGTGATGAACTATTTTTGATGCTAGCATGATTTTCCTTCTCTCAAATTAAACAAAAAACTTCCTGCCAAACTTCCAAGTTTACCTTTTTGGGCTTAAGGCATAACATGAAGTTGCACATCACACAAAAGCTTAAGTTTGAAGTGTATAGTTTTAGTGCTATCTGAAACCCCACTTTTTACATTATTTTTGAAAAAATTCTGAGTATTTCATGTTTGCTCTTTCTGTATATTCTAATGCCATCTGTGGTTTGTGCAATTCCTATGCAACCAGTCTTTGCTGCTGACAAGTATTAACAGTGCAGTGTAGCACCCATAAAGTGGGCTATCAGTTTATCATCTCTTTACTTTCACTTCAGTTCAATGCATGTTGCTTTATTGTGTGGAAGATCCAGTCCATTTTTGTTGTCCAGCCACCATGATGAGCATCATTCATCTGTTTCATGAAATATTCTAGAGCTTCTTGTTCACTTTTGTCCAGTGCAAGCGTCTTTCGTATGTAGGCAATATCATCAAAAGATTGTAGTGCATCATGGAGAAGAGATTTATGAAGAGATTAGCATGCTGCCGAATTGCCAAGTAAGCCTTATAACACATCTCCTGAAACCTTAAAAAGACAGACAAGAGTGGTTCATTTAAGATAGGTAATATTGGATCCACAATAGCTTTAATTTTTGGATGCAACAGGTGGTGAGAGGCAGGTGTGCCACTAAAAAAGTTTGAGGACCACATTTAAAAAAAAATGTAAATGGCACAGGAAAAAAATTAATTGTACTATCTTCCTTCATTTCGTCCACTCAGAGGAGGTCTGTCTACCAGTTAAGTTGATCTAAGTAAATCACTCAGGGATGTGAAAAAGCACCTTCGCTTCCACCCCTTCAGCAAGGTAAATTTTGCACACTACTGTCCACACCAGTGCTATGTCAACACGGGAGTCCTTTCCCACCAATACTACTTATGCTTCTTGCTAAGGTGGAGTCATTATGCATATGAGAAAGTGCTCTTCCGTTGGTATAGCACATCCTCACCAAACACACTATTGTAGTGCATCTGTATCTGTGCAGCTATGCTGATGTAGCACTGTAGTGTGGATTTGCCCTTACATTAGCTTAATTTTTAAATGATTTTACAGTGCCTAATTCATACCAGATAAATTAGAGACAGACTTTCACTTTTAAATCCCTATTTTGAGTTCATAAACTCAAAATGTAAGAAGTGAAATATTTAAAGGAAATCCATCAAGCCACTTGAGTTACACAAGTCTAAGAAGATTAGATATTTTATGCATTAAATCAAAATGGATCATTACCAGTAAAATTTACCAAAGGTCAACTGTAGTTCTAAAAAAAGTTACACTTAACATCCACCTTGGGCAGACAATGAGACACAGATGTGTGTCCCACAACTTGATGTAAAATTGGATGCCTGCATATGTTTCTGAGTTAAATGAAACTAATACCTATACAGGGCGTGGGGAACATTTTTTGGATTGGGAGCCACTGACCCACAGAAAAATCAGTCAGGGGCTGAACACAACTGAGAAGCCAAGTGAAAAGCCCCTGACAAAAGGAAGAAAGACACTTCGCACATTCCCCTTGCACACCAGATCCTAGTGGGAGCCCAGGCTAATAGATTTTATGTGCTCCAGCCCCACAGGTGGGTAGCGGGGGGGGAGGGGGGAAAGGAGGTGGAGTGCCAGCACAGGCTCTCCAGTGCTGAGCCTCAGGGGGCCAGATCCAGGCAAGCCAGGGGCTGCATCCCACCTCTGGGAAGGAGGGTCCCTACCCCTACTATACAGGGTCTTATGACACACGCATTTGATTCAGGTCAAAGACTAGAGTATTAAAGATCACTGGGTCTTTATTATATCTAAGATATTTTGCTACAAGATACATCAAAATATATAACAAAAACTGATTACATATTTTCATGTATGTGAAATAACTGCTTAATTAAAAGGTAGCTTACCTTTCAAATTCCCTTGTTTTGGTACATTCTTGGGCTCCTTTACTAATCACTATTAAGAAATCTTGTGTTAAGACAAATGGCACACGCTCTCGTTTGTAACCAAATTTTTTCTTCTTGTGATCAAGAAAGTGTCCAAAATCTATGTGAAACAGCTTCAAAGAAGGAGCAAATGGTTACACATTTAAAAATGAGTGTGCTCATTTAGCCAGCTTTCATAGTAATATAGGTTCATCTAGTCTTTGCATGAATTTGTGATCCAAATACTAGTATGCCATACAACTATTACTGTACATCAGAAAGAGGACATATTATATAAATGAATTTTTGTAGAGAGACATGTTTTGGAAAAATAGTATCTTACTTGTCCATCATCTTTCACCATGATATTACTATTGTGACGATCACCAATTCCCAGTATGAAGGTAGCAACACAATAGCCAGCACAAGAGCGTGTAAACAAATCAATAGCTGCATCATACCTGTTGAGAACAAACAAAAGAGGCATTATTCTTCTGAATTTCTAACACCACAACAGTAAAGAAATAGCATATGATGAAAGAAGTGTATACTAGTTTAATGAAGTCACTCAAATCAAGACTTACAGATTGAACCTCTGTGGTCTGGGACTCTCTAGTCTGGTAACATGTGGTTTGCTGAACGTGAGCACCCCAGCGGAGAGGTTACCAGTGGCTGGGGGCAAATCTGGTCAGCAGGGCATCAGACCCTACATCAGGAGGGGCCGGGAAACCAGCAGGGCCATCTGAGGCCATGGGGGAGCGGGGAAGAGTCCACAGGGCAGGAGTACTGCAAAACCCACAACTGGCAGAGCCAGCAAGCTGGCGGGCTGCAGGAGTCCACGGGGGAGATGTGTGTTCAGGGGGAAACTGCCAAGACTGCAGCCATTGGGGGAGGGGGGGTGGAGAGAAGGGGGTAGGGGTAAGGGCAGCCAGGCCAGGTGGCTGGAGAAAGGAGCCCAGCAGAGAGGCCAGTGGTCCCCCCCGAAAAACTCCCTTGGCCAGGTCCCGAGGGTGCTGGACCAGGGAGGTCCAACCTGTACTTGGATTTTACCATTAACCAAATCAAAATATTAGGAAGCGATTCAATGTTTTTAGAATACACAATACATATAGTAAGATCAATAAATAATAAATTCACTGTTAGAGCAATTTTCTTAAAGACACAGAAATTTTCACTTTGGTAAGCTACCAATGGAAATTCAGATTCAAACCATACATTTGTTCAAGAGTATTTCTTAAATTGCCAATTTTTGGCCAAATGCTGCATTGTCACAATATTACACAATGCCTTAGTCTCAAGAAGAGAGCTATGGACAGCAAAAATACTAGGTGAGAAGTATCAATGTATGATTTAGTTGCCCGCTTCAAGAATGGAGGCATTAAATATTTCTGTTTTGCAGCTTCCATCAAAAACAATTCCACCCTCCAAAAACATGGAAATTAAAAGGAGAATAATTAAATATAAAAACCTCACATTTCTCCTTTGTTCTTGTCCTTGAGCCACTGATGTAATGTGTGGCTGTTGAATTGCAATGCACCTTTTAGACCACCTTTACACTGAATTTGCATAATTGTATGAGAGCTTCTCACCACCTCAATAAGTCCCACACAATCACCAATAGACAAACAGCCATAAGGCAACATCCTGGAAGAAAAAGAATTGTTTATAAAGAGCACGTTTTCAGACAGAAAGCATTTTAAACGGTACAAAATATGCACGTTCTGGTCAGTAACCTTAGTCAGTTTTTACTAGATTTAACTTCGCAGAGTTCTGCTGAAAATAATTTGGCTATAGGGTTTTCAAATGTATCAGAAGTGTTGAGAAAAGAGTGTGCAAGAACATTAGGTACAGTGCACTACTCTGTTGCCAATGCATCTGGTAATTTCCTAGTTTTATACTGAAAAAGATTTTAGCTAAAAGTGACAGTATAACATACAGAAGCATTAGTAACTTTTATCGCTTCAGATTATTCAAAATACTGCAGTCCATAAACTGATCAATGCCTTATGTGAAAATTTTGGTGGTCTCAGTCTATTTCCAGGGAACGACCATCAGTAAGACTACCTTAAAGCCAGCATTGCTGCAGATCATGAGTTTCCATTACAATTTTATAATATTGTCAGGTAATAGCTCTGGACATATATTTAATTTTTTCCCTGTAAGCATTTTTATGTATTGTGTTCCTGGTAGCACTCAGGATGTTCCCTTAAAGCAGGGTTGAACAATAATTTTTAATGGGGGGAGGGGGGGGGCTCTCCAAGATTTTGACAAGTGGTCAAGGGCTGCATTTCTCCTGATAGGGTGTGGGATCTGGGACAGAGATTGGTGCAGAAGGGAGCTTAGGGTAGGGGACTGGGGTGTAGGAGGTGGTATGGCATCTGATTGAAAGACTGTGGTCTGGGGCAGAGGCTTGGGGTACAGAGTTTGGAGGGATATGGGTGCAGGAGAGGCTTTCTGGCTCTTGGAGGGGGTGCAGGGTCTGGGAGGCAGTTGTGACCTGGGAGAAGGTTTTGGGTGGTGGCCTGGGGCAGGTAGTTGAGGGGAGAGGAGGGAAAGGGAGTGGACGCCAGAGGCAGGCTCTGGCTGGGAGGAGCTTAGCAAGGTGGCTCCCAGCCAGCAGCCCTGCAAGATCCTGAGCTGCAGTTGCAAGCTGCTCCACAGGGCTCTCCTCCAGGGAGGGTGGGAGGAAGGAGGCTTCATTGGCTGGCCCTGCCTCCAGCAAAAATTCTCAGCTCCTTTTGGCTGGAAACTAGCCAATGGGAGCTGAGTGATTTTTCTGGGGGCGGGACGGGTGTGACAGCAGGTTGGGGTTTCCCCATCTCCTGCACCCCTGTAGTGGCACAAACAGACTCCACCAGCCAGTAGAATTGAGGGAGTTTACATCTGTGCTGTGCTGTATCCTGGAGAAGCAATAATCTGGTTACAGGGCTAGGCCTGTGATGCCTCAGCCCCCCTTAAGATGTGGGAGTCTGGGCCCTTAAATCCCAGCCCCCTTGCTCAGGCTACTTCCTCCTTGATTCCAGACAAAATAACCCAGCCAGGTGTTGCTCTCTGCCCTCCTTCCTTTGTCTCCCTCCCTGGGAGGCTGAGCCTGGGTGTCTGTGTTAATACACATTTGGAAGAGTCAGTGAGAATCTCCCATCACAACACAAGGGGACCACGGATCACAGAGCAGACAGCACCCCTTATTACGTCACAGCAGGACAGAGCACAAAGCTTCCCTCCTTGCTCCCGAGCATCTAGAGCAGCCACATTTAGAACAGCTACAGCTGCATTGTGCTACGGGTCCCAGCAAGGCAGTCGTAGGCTGGATCCAGTGGCATGGCAATTCAGACCCAGCCTGTTAGCTGCCTCTTGCCCACCCCTGCCTTAAAGTCTGGACACTGTCCTGCCTCGAGTATTAAAGTGTGAAGATCTGACAAATACATCTTGTTAAATCTATCTACATTTTGAAAGTTTAATTATTCATAATATTCAGATACTGGGTATTCATTTTTCATGGAAAAGGAAAGGAACCATCTGTAGTAATTAGGTTAAACAGAAAACATTAAAGATGGCACTGAAGAACACTCTGTTGCTTACCGAAGATCAAGACCCTGATTTTGCCAGATATTTTCCATAATTCGAATGATTTGAAGTGTCAGCATGTCCTGACGTAAATCTGAAATATTCAAGTACATATATATGTTGTGGATTTTATAAGATCAGCATGAAAGCTTGTTACAAAGTTTTATTTCTTTCCCCCCCCCCCCCAATATATTTTAGATTGGGATAGTATGTTGTGCCTTTCACTAAAGTTGCAGTCCCTAAAATGTATTATGCATAAGTCTAAAGCAACTTATGCATAATATTAAAAATTAATATAAAAGTTGCTGTGTTAATAAACTTAATCTTCCTGATTCATGAGCTAGACATCAAATATTGCTTTAAAAATGACAGCAAATATTCTAAAGCATTTAAAAATTAGAGTAGTATTACAGTTAAATAATACTATGATCCTATGAAAGTCAATTTTAATTAGGCAAATCAATTTTAATACTATGGAAAGTACAATGCATGCTAGGGATGTCAACTGATAGTCCACTAGATGATTAATCAATAAGCCTCCCCCCTCCTCTTGCTGCCTCTGTATCATAGGCAGTGGGAATGAGGGGGGGGAAACAGGGGCTGGTGACCATGAGGAGCTGGCTTGAAGCAGGAGCCCCACAAGGAGCAGATCTGCCTCCTCCACCTCTTGTGCCACTGCCTCTGATAGAGAGGTAGCAAGGTGGAGGGTGAGGGGGGCAGGCTGGAGCTGATATGCATAGGGAGCTGGCTTTTGGTTTTCTGCGTGTTCTGGCTCTATGGAACTGCCTCCTGCCTACTGCCTCCTACAGAGGACAAAACCTCCTTAAAAGCTGGTTCCTGCCTCCCCCCCAGCACCAGCTCTGTAGTGCCGTCTGCTGCCACCCCACACTGCTGCCGCCTCTGTATAAGAGGCAGCAGCGCAGGGCAGCAGCCAGATGGTCTGTGTGGGGAGCTGGTTTTTAAAGTAGCTCCCCTCACAGAACGCTCCCACCCGCCACACTACACTGCTGCTTCTTATACAGAGGCAGCAGTACAGGGTGACAGGGGGCTCCCCGGGAGTGGAGCCACGAGTGCACTGGCTGCCAGCCCCGCCCTCAGGGACTATTGAATAGTTGTATAACCGATAAGATTTCATGCGGTCACACGACTGCAATTACACAATTTCTAACATCCCTCATGCATAGACAAGTCATGTTCTAAAAGTTCAAAATATCATTATAAAAGAGAGTAAGTATTTGAGAAAGCACAGCCTAGAAGTAAAGCTACAAAAATACTGTGGTTTCTTCATTTTTATAGGCCTGTTTCTTTAGAAACTCAAAATTAGCAAAGCCAAACACAGTATGTTTACTGTTTTAACATGTAGTCCATAAATTTAGAAAAAAAACCTAGTGTATGAGAAGAAAAGCTTTATATATAAAACACATAACTCTCTGGAATATGTTGACCAGGATATATATGTATTTCGTTCCCTTACCATCTCCATTTTTAAAGATGATTTCATTGTTTTGAAACAACAGTTCAGACATAATATCTGGGTTTTCCCAGTTCAACCAGAGTGGCCTTTTTGCAGAGGACATAATCCTGCATTCCTCAAGCCTACAAAAAGATAAGATTTCTTCGAAATAAGTGTGTTGTTGACATTAATGAATGGTGTTTATAGTATTCCTCCTATCTCTACCTTTTCTTCCCCCAATGCTTACAGCTGATATAACATTATGATGGGCTGAGATGGACAGTTAACTGACAACCATTTTCATTCTTGAGTCTTACATTTCAAGCAAGAAGTGTGCTAGCTTGTGCTGCCTAAGGGAACTGGCTGTATATGATATTCAGGCAGCATCACTTCTGGCCAAATAATAAGACGACTCCTGACAAAAATTGCAAGCATTATTCTGTGATCATTTAACACTGTTTTATAAATGCTACTGGCTTAAGGTTAAAAAAACATCCACTATACGATTTTCTTAGTGCGCTTTAAAATTAAAATCTTTTCCAAGATTAATTTCAGAAAAATGGTCTATTTAAATATTTTGACAAGTTCCATAAGGGAAGAACATACCTGAGATTTCCCAGCTGATGAGCAGGGTTAAGAGGAGAAATAAAGCCTTGTAAGGCATCCATGAAATCTGGTCGCCTCATTTGCTCAACAAGAAACTTCATCTGCACCTGAAGGATAAACACATTTAATCTGAGAACTTGATTATGAGAAAAAAAATGTACATGTTAAGTTTTAATTTTGGCTTAAGATGTACTTGTGTAATGCAAGTGTTAAACACAAAAACAATTGCACAGTAGCCACATGTCAACAGAACTGCTGCATTATTTCTATATTACCTATGAATAGTTGTATGATGCAACATTTATTTAAATGACCTATTCAACTAGCCAACAACAATGGGTATTATCTACTGGAGTAAACATAATCATACTGTTTGTTTTAACTACTGTTATGCATACTTAATTCTTGCATTCTCATAGCAATAATACCTTTTGTGTCTCATCCTTCTTCTCCTGCTTGAGAATATCTGTGAGGTTTATCAGTTTCTCCATAGCTTCCACCTGCCTGCTCAAATGTTTTAGGTACATTCCACATGCTCGACAGTAGGACTCCAAAAGTAAGCCAAATCTCTGGCTTACATTTTTATTATGCATTTCGGATCTATCAAAAGAGAACATTTACAGATGTTACGTTTTGGGCTGATACTGTCCCTGTACCCTCTGACTCAGTCAGCACCATTATCAAGGGAAAGGCCTACATTTGCACTTCTCTCAGAGGAAGTCCATAATTCAGCCCACATTTAGACTGAACAGACCAGGCTACAGCACCTCCTGCTTACCACCTGTTATCTCTATAGCAGAGACCAAAACCACTCCAGGAGCTGATATACCCTAATTGATACAGTGACAGAACAGCTTGTTTGAAACAGAGTAGGATTTATTCATCCACAGTAACATAATACACAGAGAGAAAAAGGTTAAAAACAACAAAAAGCATTCAGACTTTCCCAAATATAGCATTTACCTTGTGCAACTAAGTAGGCCCAATTTAACCAGGATACCCTTCCATTTTTCCCAGGGACCAAGTTACTGCCTGCTTCTCTGCAGCAGACCCACCATCCCTGTGTCTCAGAAGCTCAACTTCTCAACTATATTCAATCTCTTGGTTTGAAAGTTCTTGTATTGAAACACTAAGCTTGCCAAGTAGAGTTACCCTTCAGCCAGCAGCACAAGTAACCTCAAAACCCTATGTTCATGTGGAATAGTAATAGAAACGTAGCCGTGTTAGTCTAGTCTAGCTGAAACAAAAAACAGGACTTTGTAGCACTTTAAAGACTAACAAGATGGTTTATTTTGATCTGAGGAAGTGGGTCTGGCACACGAAAGCTCATCACCTAATAAACCATCCTGTTAGTCTCTAAAGTGCTAACTAGTCCTGGGTTTTGTTTCAGCTATATTCACGTGGAATGTGTTGATAATCACACTGTATGTAGCCAGGTCCCAGCTACTCCAACTAACTACTCAAAAGCAATCTTAAATTTCAACATCATGCACCACCTATTTTGTAACTTTTCATTAACACTTTCAGCAGTGATTTAAGTAGAAAGACAAAGCACAATAATGATCATGACAAAGCTTCATAAGACTGGAAGGGACCTCGGGAGAGTCAAAATCCAGTCCCCTGCTCTCATTGCATTATAGCATACTTAGTCCTGCTATGACAAAGGTTTAACAATAGGAACAGAATAAGTATACGGAAGAGTCAAGAGTGATTGCTTCAATAAACATTAACTAGAGGATAAGAAAGAGTGAAAGAAAATAGAAGAGAGGCGAGGGAAGGAAGACAAATGAAGAATGGTCGTCTTGAAGAGGATTATACTTTCTTACTTAGTGGTATTAAATGCAATAAGGTACTGAAAAAAATAATCAGAAGTTACTGATCTTTGTATAAACATTACACTGAGAAAGGTGGAGGATCTATTTTGGACTGAGTAAGCATGGGGCCCCAAATTTATACTCTTAGCCCATCAGAGAAGGAATTCAGTTCTCATCAGTGACTGAGCATGATATTCCTACCTTACATACAACACTGGCTACTACAAAAAAATCTAAAATTAGGACAGTTCATTATCTTCTGTATTTTTCCAAAATAAATTGACTACAGATTTGAGAACTAATTGTTTAGGGAGTCATGCTGCTTACATAAAAAAAAACCAAACCAAACCAAAACAAAAAAACCCTTATAGTACATAATAGCTTAAGAAAAAAAGGTATTTTATTCTATTTCACACTTCTAACTACTATGGTATAGCTTGGTGGAACCCCACCATTACCCAAGCAAACTTACTTTAAGTGCCAAAAGAAAAAATGTCCTATCCTTTGATTGGTCAGTGCCTTCTTGAGTAAAAATCTCACCAGTAGATTATCCAAATACTGCTCATATTTCAGAACCTATTTATGGGTAAGAAGAAATGAGAATTTGGAACTGCAGCTTTCATTTTGCAAATATTCCAATGGGTAAAACACATCACATAAAAGAACCACAATTCTGGAAAATTTCTGGATTTTGTAATTCAATGTCTGGCCCTCATTTTAGAGTTTGAAATGTTAGCAGGTATTGTTCTAAACCTGCTAAATAGTACACACACTGGAGAAGGTCCAAACTTAACACCTATCTGACTGACATTTCTTCATTAACAGATACCAATCACATTTTAGCCTCATTTTGCTGAAGTTTCTAGAATTGTCTCTTCAGGGCATCTGCACATCATTCCATACTACAGAAGGACAAATGGTCTGGCTGCCAATGTGAATCAGCAAAACAGATCTGTATTTTCAAGCAAGGTCCTAACATCTCACATCCCATTACAGTACAAAAACCAGGTCTGATATTTCAAGGTTGTAACTACTATATTATCTATTCCCCAGAATCATTAAGGAATTACTGTCAAGATTTCTTCTTGCTACACCAGATTTAAGAAGCAACAATTAAAGAATCTGTCAACAATAAATAAATAAATATACATAATTCCTGATTTAACAGAATAAGATAGGATACCTGTACAAGCTGGATTAAGTACTGAGACAATTTATCATCTGTCAAATACTTCTCCAGACACCGAACTGCAAACGCTCGCACCAATGGATCAGGATAATTACAGTCCAAAAGCTCCATTGCCTGTTCTGGCTTGATTGGAGGCCAGTCTTTTACCAAGCAGTACATCTAAGTGGAACAAAACCAACAACCCAACATAACCCAGACATTTTAAGTGGTTGCATGAACAAAACAACAGTTGTGAAATTTCCTATTTAAAAACTGAATTTACTCTTTGATCTCACAAATGACTAACTTATTATATCTTACATCCAGCTAAATATTTTAATCCACCATTGAAAAGCTATAGTAAAAATTACAACCGCAGTCATTCCATAGTCAGTTATGTTAACCCAGTGTAACCCACTGGATAGCAGTACATCAGAGACTGAGCCAAGGACCTCTTGGAGGTAAGAGCAAAAGTCTTTCGAATTAAACACCAGGCTCTACAACTGTTAGCCGTTACAGACTCATATCATCTATACATTAGGCACAAAGTGGGACAGAACACACACCAAACAATGGGTTGCATTACCCCAGTGGTACTCAGTTATGTAACTTGAGACACACATATGCAACCGCCATGACTATTATACACCTCCACCAAATGCACATACTATACTATTAAATATATAACCAAATACTAAAAAAATTTCAATAGAACAAAAACATTTAGCTAACTTTATTTACTGCATGCATTTGATTGCCTGTCAGTTTGACACGTGGCTCTCCCTTTGAGACAAGCTTGGTGAAGCTGGTTTCTATATTTAAGATGGCAATTCAAAGGGACTTTTGTATGCTGGAAAGTAAGATGATTTCACCTGTTGTTTTCAATCTTTGAAAGTGTGGAGAAGAATGCTTGACATCTATAAATTGAGGGGAACATTGAAATAAGCATCCTGGCTAATTTTGAAATTTTTGGAAGATGGCTTGCTAATTTCCAAAGTTCACATCTGTATTTTGACAGAATTAGTGTACCAATGCAGAGCTCTTCAATTCAATGAACCACATCACCCGATCCACATTTCTGAGCTGTGAGCAGATAGCTTCCGTTTCAGCCATCTCAATGAAAAATGGATTCCTCACCAGAAGCAAAAGTTTGTCATAATTGTTAAAAATCACTGTATCTGGCACCATAATTCTCATTTAGTTCATCCAGCACATTGCAAAGCTGCTTTTGACTCAAGGGAGCAACAATCTACAGCATCGGGGTTTTGCCTCATCACTTTCTCATGTTTGAAAAAGAAAAGATGGTAGTCACCTTTGCTGACACTGCTATGTAGTAACTGAAATTTGACAATGTTTTGACAGCTATGTACAGTTTGTACACAGTCTTATTCTTGCCTTGCATCTTCACATTGAACTCATTTAAGTGCTGAGTGACACTGCACAGAAATGCAATGGAGAGCAATCAGTCTGAATTGCCAAAAACCATAGATACCAAACAAAAAAAATATCTTTCATCCGTTTTTAGAGCTTGTTTCAGCAAAGCTACAGCCCCATTTTTCTCGCCAAGCATAGCAGAAGCACAGTCGTTACTGCTGCAATTTTTTTCTGGCTGTATGTTGAACTTTTTGAAGATATCCAATACAGAGATTTTAATTTCCTCGCCAGTTGTTCTGTTTGTCAAGGGTACCAGGTCTAATAAATCTTCTGTCACGTCAAAAATCAGCAGTGGTAGCTCTGACAAGTAGCAGTAACTGTGGGATGTCATTGATATTCAGGCTATTCATCCATAGCAAGGCTAACACTGAAGACAGACAACTTTTCCCTGAGGATATTTTCAGTGTTCTGCAATATCTGATGCCCATCTCAACACCACTGAATCAGATACCGGTTTTCTCACCTCTCTCAAGCACTTTTTTGTAAGGGAACAGTGTTGATTAGACTATTAAAATGCAGTGTTTTATCATCTCACAATCAACATGAGGCTTCATCTTTCTCATTATTTCATGTGTGATTTTGTAGATGCAGACTTTTTCACTTGTGTTAATATGAAATATGTTTTGTTGTTTTATTCTTTGTTACATGAGGTTTAAGTCTCTCCTGAGTTCGCTTCCCAAGGGTGGGGGGGAATCAATGCTGAAGTTTGAATGAGTAGTAGTGTAATGTCTGATACAATTAGATTTTGTGACTTGGGCAACAGAATTGTGGCATATGAAAGCAGATCATTTACCTCCACTATTGGGCACAAAGAAATAATCATGTTCCCACTGCTCTCTCAAAGATCTGAACTCATCTTTGTACTTGTGGTTTTTTGTGTTGCTTTCGCCCTGTGTCGTTTCCTGCCCACAGAAGGGAGTAATGACATCCAGTGATTGTTCAAAGAATTCTAATTGTTTTTTAGCTGCACTGAGGAAGGGAAGGGAAGAGTGGGAGCTCCCTCCTGGAGCACTGCAAATCAGCAGTTCACAATGCTCAGGGAGGGAGCCTTGAAAAACTGTAAGCTACACCTCCAAGAGCCACATGCGACTCTCAAGTCGAAGACTGAGCATCACTGCACTAGCACATATTCTAACTCTATTGCTCACTTTCATGCCAGTTGAAGAAAATCATAATGATAAGTGATCGACTAATTCAAGAAACTTTATTAAAGTGTATTACCTGGGCTACTTCATCTCTAGAGTTCCACTTAACAGACAAAAGTAGTTTTGGTAGAATTTCTGGGGTATTTACACAATAGTGTCTGTAAAAGGAAAAAAAAAAAAGATAAATTATTGTTTACCTCTTTGAATATGCAAGTAAATTTACTTTGATCACTGCAGACTATAGCTCTCAATCCTGAAATATTATGTACCAGTGAGACTCTGCAGGCATAAAAAAGTCATATGGGACAGGCATATGTCTATGCAGGTAAGTTTGCAAAAAGTTTGAGGCATATAAAGGACTACATACATCACCTGCTTTCCTCTAAAGTCTTGTATTGTATACTTTCCTAAAATGCTAAAATGCTAACCACAGCAAGGCAGAACATAATGAACAGGACAATTATGTGTTTTATGAAATTAGAGAATTCCAGAACCCTATCTTTACGATTCTTTATACCTGTGGCTCCAAAGGAAGTCCTTCTCTTGCTCAGTGATTTCAGACAGAGGGTCTCGTGTACAAATTGCACGGAGTTGCTCTTTGTCACTTTCTCTTAATTCATTATCTCTAGCTATCCTGTTACTCTGTAAAATAAAATGGTTCGTTATCCTTCCACACTCTTTTCTGCTCTCAGACAAGTTATACACTTGATGTAAACAATATTTTTATATAATGTAGCATCATTTATAGTCTTTTAAAAATCCGTTAGTTTATTGTTTCTTTCAATCCAAGAGTGCAGCTCTATAGGATATTTTTAAAAAGATGGAGAAGTGCCAGCTTTATACTGCTTTGATTTTTGTAAACTGCTTACAATTGCCACAATGAGTGGGGAATTAGGGATGTTAAATTTAGATTAATTAATTAATTGAATAGTCCATTGGCTTTCCATCAACTATTTGATTAGTCGATAAGGGTGTCTCCGCCTTTGAACTGTAGCAAGATACTGGCAGAGCTCTTGCCACAGTTCAAAAGCGGAAGCCCAGCAGGGAACATGAGGTCAGTGGAGGACTGGCTCCGAGCTCCCTGCAGCGCCTGAGCCTTTGAAGTGTACAATAGCCCTGGCGGAACTCTTGTACATTAAAAAAAGAAGAAGCAGTCTTGCAGCAGAACCGGAGCAAGCAGAGACTGCTTCAGCACCCGCTCGTGCCGTTTCCCTCTGTGCCTCTACCTCCCCTGTCCCCCCATGGAGACAGTGCTGGGAGGTGGGGGGGGGGAAGAAAACCGGCTTTTAAGCCAGCTCCCCCCAACACTGGCTCCTGCTCCCTCGCCTTGCTTCCCCTCTTTGACACAGGCAGCAAGGGAGGGGGGGGAAGCGACTAGTCGCATCACTAGTCAACTATCCAATAAGCTTATGATTATCAGACAGTCGACTAGTCACTTATCCCCACAAGGGATGTAATTCCAAAGAAATGAGATAGGAGAGACGATAGCATGCTACCATTGAATGAGATTCTAGCAAGAGCCCCATGAGCCACAAGATTAAAGTGAGAATCTCATCCACATTTATCAATTTATTCAGGAAATCTGCTGGAAAGGGGAAGAGAAAGTCAAGATTGGAGGATTATGGGGAAAAAAAATAAGTGAAAGGAAAAATGGAACATACCCAGAAAGCTTTAAAAACTAGGGGGAGAGTTTCAAATTGATTTCCAATGTGACTGTGAAGCCAGTGTGTGTTAATGCTAACTAGATTCCCTGAATGGATAGGGACACTCAGTGTAACCCTCAGGGAAACTATTTGCACACTGGAATTGAGTTCAGTTAGTTTCATTTTATGTGCTCAGAGCAAGTCACAGATGCATTTTATAGGATACAAAATCAAATAAACAAGCTTGGTCACGATTGACTCTTTTTGCCCTTTCTTTCTCCCATAATGCAATAACTTTTGAGTCTATGGTTATTGTAAAGCTTTGTTTTTGGCATGATGATAGAGCTTGATATTTTGTTTGTGGAACTGCCTGTACTGTAAAAAGACAAGTCCTAAGGGGTTTTAGTGACATAGGGTTTTAGCATGCACCACCATTCACAAATAGGGCATAGTGATTAATCTTAAAACATGTTTCCATCAAAAGATATAGATTTGCAACATTTAGACATTTTGCAAATTTGTGTTAATTTGCTGAATTGTTTCAGATGGAGAAATAAAAAGCCATCTTCTCTCCCCAAATTAAAAGTCTTTATTTTTAAAATGTCATAACCAAAAGGTTTTGATTTTTTTATTCAAATTGATTAAATAAACCCCAAAGAATTTAAAATTTTAAAGAACCTCCTCCCCCCACAAAAACCCATAAAGTCACACACCATAAAAAGTTCATTATGATTTGATTTGGAATTTTGTCTAAAATTAAGAAGTTTTTTGTTTTGCAATTTAATTATGTCAGAAGCTGAAATGCTCCAGAAACAATTTTATTCAGCAGCACACGTCTTTAAAAATTAATTCATGTTTTGAGATCTTCAGAATGCACAGTTATAAAGTATGGCAAAAAGAAAAGCAAAGAGAAAGCTTCTTTGCCATGTGAAATGTGCATTAAAAATGGAATTTTGTCTGAAGTTCCCATTTTGTTGGCAGAACCCCCCTTTTGGCTAGATTACTGAGTATCATAATTGTGGAGCTACCTAAAACATCTTGGTAGGAAGATTTTTTGTAAGTGTGTTTGGTTCTCATTTGAGAAACAAGCCAAACTAGAATCACCCAGATACCCTTTAAAAGACAAAAGAGCTATTATGCCTTAAAACATACATACAATATTTTAACACAGAAGGCACTGACAGATTATAGTCTACTGCTACCTATGGTCTGTTCAAAAAAACAGGCACATAACATATTTAAAGATGGGAAGTACTATGCTTTGCCTTCACTTTTAGTTATGTAATTCTCTTTTGTACTTATTATACTGTAGTTACTCACACAATGCAGCCATCATGGTGTTATACAGAGACATTTAAAATTGTTTAAATTAAGGGGAGTGAACAAACCATGCTCCCTCGCAGCTGATATGTAATGAAAATCCCTCCATAAACTTATTCCCCACGCATCTACCACCAGATTAGTACAGGCAGTCCCCGACTTATGTCAGATCCGCACTTACGAACGGGGCTTTTCTCGCCCCGGAGCTCATGGGCGGCGGGTTGCCACCCGTGTCCTCCGGGGCGAGAAAAGCTTCGCCCAGTCTCCCTGGTCTGCTGGGGGGGTCCAGCGGCTTTGCTGGACCCCCCCCCCCCCCCCCCCAGCCCCCGGCAGACCCACCCAGCTCCCCAGCGTAGGGCGTGTGGGGGTGGCCAGGGCTTAACCTGTCACCAGAGAGGGGCCGGGCTCCAGCATGTTTGTTATTTTCCCAACTGATGGGCCAAGCCCAGAGGTGCCGGGGCTGGGAACTGCCAGGCCCAGAGGTCTCAGAGGGGCCAATTGAGTCTGTATCTTAAAAAACCCTCAAAAAACAACGCATGCTCCTGTAGCACCTGAGAAACCAACAACAAATCTAGTCATCTCTCAGGGTATGTCTACACTAGCCCCTAGGCTATCCTGGGCTTCATTTGCATCTTCCCGGACGCCGCCATTTTTAAATCCCCCTTAGTGCGAATTCCGGCCCGTGGCTACACATGGCATGGAATAGGTAGCTTGAATTAGGATCTCTGATACTAATTTTGTTTCAGCTACACCAGACTAACACGGCTACATTTCTATCAGTCGTCTCTCTGTTAGTCTGCTCTGCCCCAGGCTTCCTGGAATCAGCCGCTGATCAGTTTCAGCAGCAGCTGACTTGGGGACGCCTGGGTTTCTTAAGTTGAATCTGTATGTAAGTCAGAACTGGCATCCAGATTCAGCCGCGGTTGAAACTGATCAGTTTCAGCAGCGGCTGACGCCAGTTCCCACTTACATACAGATTCAACTTAAGAACAAACCTACAGTCCCTATCTTGTACGTAACCCGGGGACTGCCTGTAATCCAGCCACTTGGCTGTACACTTTACTGCATGCAGCTTCTGAAGCAAGTAAATTGATTCAGATATGGGAACAGGAAAATTTTTTAGGACTGCCACTAGTGGAACTATTTTTAAGAGAACATGCAATGGATGTAGCACAATGAAGTTTATTCTAAAGGTCTCACATTAAAAACTGGGATATACACTTGATGTTTTGGCAAGAGAGGCTATGAATTATGGGAGATGTTAGGATGGAGTATATGGCTTCCCCACTCCTGGAATAACTTACTATTAAAAAAAGTCACGTTCATGTACTATTCATAAATACAATTAAAAGCTTTTTAAAAACATTTATCTAGCTTCTGATAGAGTCATCACAAGTAGAACAAAGCCAAATTTTTAAAAAAATCTGAGTAAGGGAACAAAATTAGCACACTAGTGCTGTTCTCTACAGCTAAAGCATTAACTAAAAAGACAAAAATCAGTTCAGAAATTCCTTTTATAGCTGCAGCTGTTAGAAACAATGATGATTACTTTAACTGAAAGTGACTGTAAGAAAATGGTTTTTCAGTTAATTTCTTTAGCTCCCTTTTTCCCAATACAAGTTATTCAGTTTTCCCTCTTGTTTGTGTATTTGTTGTAAGCAATCAGGCAGAGAAAAATTAAATGTAAAAAGGAAATTTGTTTGCCGCATACTATACAAATTGGCAAGTGGATTTAGGAAACAAGAGTATCATCAGAAACTCCTTTTTTCACAACTGATCAGGCTTCAAGTTGACTGTTTCCCCTGTAAATCTGATGTGGTATAAAAGCTTCACAATGTGACTAGGAATAAGGAAGCTCAAGTTCAAATCTTGATTTTCTTTTAATTCACTATATGTTGGAGGGGTCACTACATTTTCTTGACCTTCACTTAATATTAATACAAGATTTAAAACTATTTGCACATGTTGGATCATAAGACAAAATGTACCTGTATATTATTAGGTCAGAAAACTCATGGTTTAGGTCAAGCCCAGTAGGAAAATGCATTTATCCTGTTGAGGTCAACATCAAAAACTTGCAATTCTATGAAGTATGGGACAGTAAAGTAGAGAATATATAAATTTAAATATTTAAGAAAGCTTCAATATTTGAGGTAACAATGGATCTATAAGTGTTCCATTAAAATATCTATACCTGATCTTAAATATTTCTACTAATTTATTGGATAAGAGGGCAGTGTAGTACATTTTTTAAAAATCCATATCTATTATTTTTTATGTTAAGAGAAGATGTTTTACAGAACAATACTATGGTAAAATGGCCTGGTGGCTTCCACAGCAATTGGGACTACAGTACCTTGTTTAGAAGTTTTGACAAGTAAACTCAAAGCCAGTTTCAGATCTTGAATGTTTAGCATGTATTATTGTCTTGTCCAAAGTTTTATTTTCAAGTTACTTGGCATTACTATTATACTGCCATGAACACATGTGGTACTTCACAGAACACATCGCTCCTGTCCCAAAGAGCTTACAAGTTAAAAACAGATATAATATAGGGGTATCAATAAAGATTAGAAATTTAGGAAGATTTTATAAAAGATGTTTTAAAGAGTGATTAGAGGAAGCAGCAAGAGGCTATTTGGCTGGCAAAGTAGAGTTTTAGTAAGGAGCTAAGGAGAAAAAAGGAGATAGTATCAATGAACATTATTGGATTGAAATGGAAACAGATGCTAACATAGCATTTAGAGGTGGAGAAAGGTATAATCTCACTTCTGAGTGTTATGGGGTTGAGCAAGCTGGTTCAATAGGAAATAAACACCGATCCAGTGTTCCCTGTAAACTGAGCACTTGGGTAGCTACCCAGGAGAGATTCAAATGCCGCCCAGCTGATTAGCAGAGTTCTGCACACAGCTGGCAGCATGTGTTTCTATTGGTGGTGCATATCCACACATACCTCAGCGCACAAAGTTTATTCCACATATGAATGGAAACAATTAGAGTGAATATTACACCCAGGTGACCCACCATGCTAACCTTGAAAAACCCTGAATATTTTTAAAATTAAAAATGTACTGCATCATCTTTGTTGTGCCTTTAAAAACCTAATAGAACTTTTTAGTTTCAGCCAAAGATAGATAAAAATGGCTATATTTGAGACACCAACGGTACCAAAAAGCCTACAAAAATTAAAAATCGTTTACTCTTTCAAGATTCACAATCAAGAAAATACAAACATACTTCAGATATGCACCCCAACTTCTAGACACTCACATGACCATTCTAAAGGTCTACCTTAAAGCAGCTTCTGAATTTGAGGTGAATAAGATTAGTAATTAATAGGCATATTTGTTTACATCTGTAATTATCAGAGGACCTCTGCTACTAATCTGTCCTGTAGGTTTGAGAAAATTACATCACTATGAAAGCATAACTCTAACTACACACTGTTACTTTCACATAGAAGAAATGGGGACATTCAGGAGAGTGATTTGTAATTTTTAAAAAGGTACCACAGTCATGGGCACAGAGTAAGAAATTAAACAGGTTTCAGTTATTGCAGAGATGAATATTTTAGAAGCCATTAATTTACAGACCTTCACTAATCATGGTTTACTGCCAATCCTAAGGATCATACTCATTCTCTTCAGTCTTTGCTACCTTTAATACTGTTGACCAACTGCTGTGCCCATATTACCATTTTCTCTCTTACTTGGGGCTGTGTTTTAAAGACAATTTATTCTTTATTTTTATGCCAAAACATGACACTCAAGTCCGAACCCTGTGCTTGTTTTAAAAGAATATGAAGTACACATTACTCTTGCACCTAACTTTGAAAACTTTGGCCAATACGAGCAATAGGAGGAGCCAGCAATATGTAGAGGACACACAGTCCTACTTATCACTCACCCACATGGCCACACTACCACCAGCATAGCAGCCCAGTGCTTTGATAAGATCAGCTAAAGACAAAGAACAGCTGGCTGAAGCAGAACCCAAGCAAGACTGAGGTTGTGCTCATGAGCAGGGAAAGCATTTTGAAGAGTTTGCAGATAAAGTGCAGTCCATACTGACCAACATTTTCAAATTAATTTCAGGGACATCTGTGGAGGCAATCAGGCCAAGTTTGACTGAGTGGCATTGCAAGCTGGTTCTTGGGGGGGGGGTAGTGCCACTCATGTTTCGCCCAACCAGAATAAAACAAATGTATAAAACAAAACAACCTGAATGGTTTGGAAAAGCATTTAATGTTAGTGTTCTAAGGTTATACCATATACTCATGGGATTCTGAAGTAAAGTGGACCTAAATTACTATTTTGGGAATACAGCACCAAAAGCATTTTGATGTGAATGAGTTTACATCGAAGACCTACTGTTTCAGGAAGAAAACACTGAACTGGTTTTCATATTTTTAAGGATTTATACTTACTCAGGGCTAGAGATATAATTTAAAAAAGAAAGCTCAGTGTTTGAAATAAAGTATAGATTTGGTGGTAAATTTCAAGGCCACTGAATCGCAGAATACATGGGGCTCAGCTTATATCAAGACTCTGTATCTCTGATTGCTAATGAAATTAACTTGTGGCAGTTTGATAGAATATGAAAATTAGAGATCAGCATTGCTAAAGCAGTTACAAGCATATTACAGACTATAAAAAAGATTTTCCAAAGACACAGCCTATATACAACAGACATGCAACTGTGGGAGGGAGCAGAGGAAATTAAAAGAAATAGGGTCACTAATGGAGAATCTAACCCTATTACATTTTTTGCAAAATTAACCTAACATTCTGACATCCAGACAAGTTATTTATAGTTCTGGACTTGTTTCCAGCTTATATTTGCACAGTAAGACACAGCTGACCCTTAAAAGATTCTGGTTGATTATTGAAGCATCAGTATGTTTTGCTGCAAGATACAGAACCTGTTGGCATTTTTCTGCCTAGTGTTTTTAAAAAATGAATTTGGTTTCATATATCTTAATATCAAATATATTTTCCCCACAAATGAAGCACTTCAAAATGTGCAAATATTTTAAAGTTTTAGTAACTAATCCTGGAAAGTAAATTCCCCTTACCAGTCCCGCATGGCTGTAGTTAAACCCTAGTTCTCGAGATATAGTCCAATTGGCATGTTCTTCAATCACTGTCATGTCTGGAAACTTTACAGGGCTGCTAAACCAATCAAATTCCAGCTCTAAACATGGAGTTTCCTGAGGAAAAAAGAATTTTCATGATTGTTCTGAAGCAAAATTATAAATCAGAAATCACTATAATATGAACAAGTAGACATGTGTTACTAAAGCTGAAGTTAGCATATAAGCATCAATTTACCTTATTCGGATTTGACCCTGTAACGCCAATAGGATTTAGCAGATCTTCCAGCCCATGAGGCACAGCCCACAGATTCAAAGCCATTTTCCCAGATACAAGAGTATGTGTGTAATCAAACATGTTTATATTTCCCCAAGCCAATGGACAGTGTTCCTTAAAAAGACCAAATGATTATTAACAAATGAGATGAAAGTGATCAAGTTACAGCATAGTATCAGATTTCAAAGACTAATGAGGAGGAAAAAGATTCATGAAAAACTGAAATATTGAATCAAAGTAAATAAAAATATTCTTATTTGTACTGTAGCACATTGACACTATGGAAAGGCAGAAATATAATATATTAAAAGCAAAGCCAACATAGGAAAAATACTGGCTGTTATCTATTTTTTTAATATGCTTGTTATATCTTGGTTTCTAAGTTTTCTAATCAAGAAAACAACATATGCCAATGAAAAGCAAGGGCATGCGGATTCGTGTCAATACTTTTTTCGTGTAATCGTGTTTGGATATCAGATGTCAGCTGGATTCAGGAAAATAGTGTAGTATAACCTTTGCTATTATGAATGAGTAATGTATTATTGTAATTAATCAATTTAAGTTAGCAAAAAGAGCAGAACAAACAATTAAAAAGCAAGAATTACATTGCACATTGTACTAGGTTTATTTTGACAAATCCAATTTAAATTAGTGATACTTCATTTAGAGAATACATGATAGAACAAGTTACCAGAGTTGTCATGAGATGACATTAGAGCACTCTGTCTCTGCTATGAAACCCTTACTAGCAAATGGGGAGAGACTGTGTGTGAAAGTATGGATTATCAAATATGTATATTAGCAGAGAGCAAATTATCAAAATTATAGCATATTTCCCTGTGAGACTTCGAACCTTTGTCTCATCAACAACCATGACAATCATTTCAAAACCACAAATCTAAAGAGTTATAGCTGCGTAGTAAGATTTTTTTCCTCCAGCAAGTCTTTCAGAGATTTTAAATTAAAGTTTCTGTAAAGTCTTATACACTCACAAAAAATGAACCAATGTTTGAGTTTGAAAGTAGGATACAAACCCCACATTTTAGGCAATTCAGTAAAGCTTGTGATTTATTTCAAAATGCTTAGCAATCCCAACTCCCATTTAAGTCAAAAGGAGATGCAAGTGCTTGCTTTAGATACCTAAAAATGGATTAAGGAACCTAACTTTAGGCATCAATGTTTGAAAATTTTGGCCTAACTTTTTCTGTTCAACAATGCAGACCACAATTAATACTGCATGGATAATCTGTAACAAATATATTACTTTTAAAGTCAATCAAATTTAGAAGTTTCTACATCTTAGGTGATATTTTAAACAAAATAAAAATTCAAGAAAAACAGTGGTTTTGGTAAGACCAACTCATTAAAATGTTGACCAACTGCTCTTCACAAACCTGGCTGTCTGGAGTTTTATCTTACAATACATTGGAATTATTAAATACTGTACCTCCTTAGCACCCTTTCTGCCTTTAACAGAGCAGATGGAAAGGCAAAGCCGAGCAGCACGTGGGAGATCAGGAATGTACATGTCATACAATAGCCATTCATTCCATCTATGGGATTTTAAAAGTAAAATAACAAAAACAGATAAGACTCAGTACAGTTAGTCAAGAGGCACAAAATATAGAAAAAACAGAATTAGTTCCTCTTGGAAGGATATTAAACATTTTTACCGTAGAAAAAACACACACATCAAAATGGCATTTTCTGACTGAGCAGATCAGCTACCTACACTTATTCAGTCACATCTACTGCTTCTAGTCACCAATGTATGTCTTCGATTGATTTTTACTCTGGTTAGCCCTGCAGAATTAACATTGCTTGGAGAAAGTTTGCTGGATTTTATTCCTTCTTGGGCACCATCAACAAAACAGCTTACCAATACAAAGCACTTTTTGTGCAAAGTTCCTGAATAACTATCAATGTAGGTCTAGTCTGAAGACATTGGTTTGAATGGTTCTTAATGGCTTAATTTGGCATGAACATTTTTTTAACTATTCATGAAGATGCATATGAAATAAAGAACTTGGCTTGACTCTGAGACAAGTTTGAGTTGCAAGAGCTATTAGTTGGAAAAAATGTATTTCTACTTGTAAACTCAGTATTGGGATCATTAGAAGACAGATAATGCCATGTTTACCATTACATTACAATAGAGAGCCATACATTTTAAAGTAGTTTTGTAGGCTCAAATCAAGCAAAAAAACCAAAACACCCACCATAAGCACATCAGTATGTGATAACACGAATATATAAACAGCCACTCCCAGATAGGAGAGAAACCCACTCCTCAACCAAAGGCGTAGTGGAAGTACTGTGACAGGGTACGTCTAGACTACCGCGTTTTGTCGACAGAAGTTTTGTCAACAGATACTGTCGACAAAACTTCCGTCGACAAAGAGCGTCCAGACACATTGAGTTCTGTCGACAAAGCAAGCTGCTTTGTCGACAGAACCCCGTAGTCTGGACGCAACCCTACAGGCAATAACACCTTCTGTCGACAGAACTCTGTCGACAGAAGGTGTTATGCCTCGTAAAATGAGGTATACCAGCGTCAACAAAACTGCTGAGTTCTGTCGACGTTATGTCGACAGAACTCAGCGGTAGTGTAGACGCTGGTATAGTTTTGTTGACAAAACTCCACTTTTGTCGACAAAACTCGGTAGTCTAGACACACCCACAGATAAGTGGATGAAAAACTGAGGATATAAATCCTAAGAGGAAGTAAGTGAATGAAAAACTGTTGTAAAACTGACCAGTCGTATACATTTAGTACCAGTGTCTCATTTACCTTCTCCCAAATGTATACTTCCTTTTCCCAGGTGTAATAAATACTATGGTTTTTACTTAAAGTTAAATTTCACTACAAAATTTATTATTTGTATTTATTAAATGCCAACAATCTTCAGGAGTGGTTTTCAAACTGTGGTCTGTGGACCTCTGGAGTCTGCAGATCTTATCTAAGATTTTCAAAGAGGCCCTCATCTCTGTTTGAAATTTTGTAAGGATCCACAAACAAAAAGGTTGAAAGCCACTAATCTACAGCAATACTTCCTATACAAAGCATAGTAAGAAAGATTAATTTCCTAGCTAGCAAATGGATATTTTCCAAACATCTGTATAGCAATATCCATTAGGGTTCTGTTGAATTATACACTACGGCTACATCTACACTGGCATGATTTTCCGGAAATGCTTAAAACGGAACAGTTTTCCATTATAAGTATTTCCGGAAAAAGCGCGTCTACATTGGGAGGAAGCTTTTCCAGACAAGCACTTTTTCCGAAAAAGCGTCCGTGCCAATGTAGACAGCACAGATTTCTTTTCCGCAAAAAAGCCCCAATCGTCATTTTCGCGATCGGGGCTTTTTTGAGGAAAAGAAATCTGTGCTGTCTACATTGGCACGGACGCTTTTTCGGAAAAAGTGCTTTTCTGGAAATTCAAGGGTCCAGTGTAGACAGCTAGCAAGTTATTCCGGAAAAGCGCCTGATTTTCCGGAATAAGTGGCCAGTGTAGACACAGCCTACAGGTTGAACCTCTATATACCGGGACTATCTGATCCGGCAACATGTTCCAGGATGAGAGAGTCCCAATGGAAAGCCCAGTGTGCTGTCCAATGGGACAACAAGCCCAGCACGCTGGGAGCTGGGCTGGAGGTGGGAAGCCTGGCATAGCTGGGGAGGGGGTGGGAGGACTGGCAGGGCAACAAGATTGTTTGTATTGTGGAACTCAATCATGTTCCCAGATTGTACTGTGAGATGAACAGAACAAGCGGCAGAAGACAATATGTTGTCAAGTGGCCAGCTCTGCAAACACACACTGGGATATGAAAGTCAAGCTATGTTTGTCTTTGTCATAGAGATAGGTTTCGCAGGACAAACACATATGCAACCTTGCTAAAGAGATCTGTTGCATGTTACAGGCAGAATTTGAATTTAGCAAAGCTCCAACTGCAAGTCACAAGCCAGAATAGAATGGATCACAAATTTCCAGTAGCTGTGCTGGTTCTCTCTTGTAAGCAAAAAAAGGGAAATGCTGCACATTTTTGGGCCATAGACAAAACTATGAATACACAGAACAGACTTGTTGAATAAAGGTTGCTGTTTTTATGTAACATTCTATAAACCAAAATGAAGATCTACATTGTTTAAATTAATCCAATTAAGCAAATTTGTAAATGAAAGTGAGTGATCAATTTAAAAGGAAAACTCCAATGATTAGTTATAATTCTTAGATAGCTACACATGTAAATGGTTTCCTTTTAAAATAAAGGATTTTCAGTATCTTTTTAGAAAATAAGGCTGTTTTTTTTTTCCTTTCAGTGAGGCCTACTATCTTATTAATACTTCCCAGCCAGGAACCTTGGTACAAACTGGTATGGACAGAATCTATTTCCACTTAAGAAAGCTCTGGAAATCAGATTTCCCTGAAATATTACAGTAGCATTATTTACCTTGGATTGGAACAAGGTACCCTTTGAGTATTCACATTGTCGCATAAAGGTTCTCCTCCATGGTAGATACCAGTTCGAACATAGATCTGAAAACAACAATTTTAACCATCAGCATCCACTACAGCCCATTTGAATACTAGACCCAAGTCTGAAAAGGAGATTTTACTGTAAACAACAACACTATTAGATGCTGATTAGAACCACGTGTCACTCTAATTTCTATTCACGAGAGAAAAAGCAATAAGGCATAAATGAGTTCATATACTGTAAAGTATTCTTACTATGTGCTTACTACAATTTTTTACTTTATTATCTCTGCATCACCATTTCAAAGCTAGTTATGACTGCCTTTCAAATAAAGCAACACAACTGGAATTTATCCTTGAGTGCCAAGGCAAGCTATGTGGATGGAAGGTTAACAGGGCAACCTCCAAGCACACACAAGAGTTAGGGTTTGTAATAGTTTATGCTGAAAGCAATTATTTCTGATGTGTTTTCCTTATCTTTTTTCCCCCAAGTGAGAGTACCAAATTTGTCCATAGCATGTTTCAAAACTTGTCCCAGTTCTTACAGTAATGGCTCTTTAATCGTAGTATTTGTTGTTTTAAGAAAAAAACCTTTCGTTTTTCCTGCTCCTCTTCCAGTTTGTTTTAGATGAAATCACCAATTGCTAAGTATTCAACTCAGAACCTCAACATTTTGGGTTTCACAGATTAAAGCTACAATTTTTCCTTTTACATATTACTGTAAAAGTTTTATGATGCTTCTTGTTAAATGAATAAGACCAAAATTCTCAGATTGGTGTCTAAGAAAATTAGGCCACTTATAACAGGATGTGTAATCCCTAGTACCTCCTGAAATCGATGTCAGCTGAGGGTGTTAAAAACCTCTGAAAAAAAAATTAAGCTTGGATACCTAAAGCAAGGTTTAGATATTTGAGACAGCCAAAGCTGGGCCTAAATTTATATATGGATTTCTAGGTCTATCAAAAGGAAAAGATGGCAATGGAAGCAACAGTTGTGCATACCACTTTCAACTACTGACACACTTTAAAAAACAAAACAAAAAATTCAAAGAGATTATATGGACTTATCAAAAAACACTGCAGTCTAACCAAAGAAACAAAAAATTCAGATGAACTATCATGTAATTTTAATCAAGAAATTTAATTTGAAAATATACACTTTGCTAGTTGTCTGTGAGTTCTGTATGATCCTAGATCCTGTTAAACACTCACTGGTCGGTGGGAGTCTTTCCATTTACTTAAGTGTGAATTAGGTCCCTAATTAATGTTAGTAGCTGGTATGAATACAGTGTTGACCAGCTGATTCCCTAATTTTGTTAGAGAGGCCTATTGAGTTGTCTGTGGCTCAGTGTTTTCATTCTGATTCTAGCCAGTAATTTGACATGCATACATTCAGAATTTCAGTTACCTTATCAATGTCTCGAATGTTTACATTTACATAGGTGGCACAGAGAATTCTTATCCTGAGAGCACTGTTTATGGCCCAGAGAGATTTGGCTGAAGCTTCGCCATTCATGTATGGTGTAGCTGTAGAGATCCGCCTGGAATAAGATGGCATTGTAAAGGTATCCAGTGGCAGTTGTGTATAAAGGCTTTCCTTAGCCATCAGCATCAGGTTGGGCATTCGGCCAAGTATTATACAACTTCTTATGTACTGCAATAGTTGGAAGGGGAATGGGGGGAAGAGAGGGGAAAAAAAAAAGAATGTTTTGCTGCATTTTCTTTGTAATCAATACTTATAAGTATTAACTGGAAAGCATATATAAAACCTAAAAGGCTAAGAAAGCACTCGGCATTGGCCTATACTCCCATTAGAACAAATTTCCACTGACTTCAATGGGAGCATGGTTAGACCATGCTTCCAACTAGTGGTAAAGGGCTGACAGTGTCTTGTTACAGTTGTAGTCTATAAAGAGAAAGCAACACGACTCAGTCAGCCTCTGGTCACCAGGACCATCGAGTAACAATATATTCTGCTCCACTCATGAGCTCTTCCATCCAGTGGTTTCCTGTCAAAGTGATGGCTATTATTTAAGACAAAAAACATTAACATGGTTTAGCTATACTTTCTGCAGTGTAGGGATACTCCTTATTGATATTTCAGCAACCACAAGGCAAAAAGGAGTTAGAATATCTATTTCTAAATAAAAATGTCATTTATATTAGTAATGCCTATTTCACAATTTAGCACTGGATTACACTTTACTTAATGTAGTGCTCCTAAATTTAGATGGGATTTCCAAAAGTGCTCAGCACTGGCCTTCACTCCCATTAGAATAAATTCCAACTGACTTCAATGGGAGCATGGATAGGCCAAAAGCTGAGCACTTCTGCTGGATTTTTATTTATAATGCAATTATTTGCACATAGTAAGGTCAATTGAGCAAAAATTTGAGCTACTTGGCTAATAATATTAATTTCCATTTTCTGCTTTCTGAATTAGTTTAAGAAATGAAACTTACATTACAGAATCTTAATTCATCATCATCCCTCTTGCCACCCTCTCAATTTTAATTTGAGCGTATTTACAAGCAAATCCATTAATTTACAAGTAACTCACCTTATACTGGCTCAGTGGATATTTTTCTAGCAAGTATTCATCACAGCCACACACTTTTAAAATATACTTGCCCTGGTACTCTAAAACGCAGAGTTTTAGTTGTTCAGATGACAGCAACATACTTCGTGTTTTTTTCCTGATTGCTTCAGCAATAACTTGCTCAGGAACACAGTCATGGTTGATTTTTAAGGTATATTTCTGCTTGTCATTGTTCGGGGAGACTATTACCCATATCACCACTATTATTTGCCCTGGAATAATGTGAAATAACATCAGATTCTATTACTGCCCATATGTAGTCTTCTAAAGAAACTGGTCAGACTTGGAAGAGCTTCCTGAAAAGACATGCAGGCACAATTCACAGCCCAGTTTTCCAAAGTGCAGACAACCTTCTGCAAAAGCGCTAAATAGACACCGTTTACAACTCAAAAAGCTATTCTGATCTCGCTGACTAAGAACGTGTAAGTTCAAACTGTTATTTAATTACAAAATTATTTCTAAACAATTAATACAGTACTTATTAAACCAGTCTTTTCCCACTGACAATTTGACTACTCTGAAGACTAGAAGATAGTTTGTATTCCCAGGATCATTTAATTCTACATGTTCTGATTAGAGACACTTCAGATCTTGAAAAAAATGCTGATAGCTGGCCCTGTCACAACCACTAAACAGTTACATAAATCCATGCAATAACTGGATTACTCAAGTTGTATAAAAGTTTTCCTAGAATATAGAATATCAACCTATATGCTTGATCAAATGTGACATTTATTCTGAATTCAGCTCCTACTAAGCTAGCTATCTGGACTGAAAACAAAGTGTGTAATCGAAGTATAAGATGTTGCTAATGTGTATTAAATATGCTATATAAATAATGATTTACCTGTCTGCCATCACCAACTTTACTAACTGAAATTTTTATTAATTAACATAAGTACCATTAAGTTGTTGTAAGAAACATTTTTACCTTTATCTAGTTTATTGTATATGTGCTTGGGCAGTTCAGGTGAAGATTCAACATTTGGAGGACAGACATATAATGCTCTACTATGGGGTGCATTCACATCTCGAAGGTCCACTGCTTCTTTACAAACATTAAGAATATTTCTCCTGAAGTCCTGCACTTCTGGATCCTTAACCATATCAAATTCACAGACAGGCATGCCTATAGCAAAACCTAAGATATTTGGGGGAAAAAAAGTTAAATTGTCAGTGATTAATATAACTGTATATTTTTCATAGAAATACTATTTTTCTATTGTTGATTAAGTGTCCTCTATCTTAAGCAGCTTATAAAAGCAATTCAAAATACTTGTTCACAATGTATCTACCTTTGCAACTATGCTGTATCATGAAATCAACCTTATAACATAACAGTGTGCCTGCTGTATTTGGCAGCAATGAATCCAGAAGCACACAAAAGGGATACTCACTGAAAACCTGGGGAATGTCTGGGTTGCTGCTGGATGCCTCCCTCTGTCCGCAACACAGCCAACATCCCCTCAGAGGAACAGGGCTAATGAGACTTCCTCTGAAGTTAGTCAGTGAAGCTCCCTAAATTAGCCAGAGGAGTTGCTGTTACATGATTCTCCCTGGATCTTGATTGGCTTTCACACAGAGTACAAAGAGCCTTCATCAGCTTCCTTCTAGATCTACTCTACATGCCAGTTTTTCAGTATTCTAGAATAGCTACAAGATTTAAGCGTTGACTGTCACAGTAGGCACTTAACTTTGCCCTTGGAGATTCAGCAAGAGATCAATCCTGTACATTCTTAATCATGTAGCCCCAGTCATCTCAGCTGGACTACCCTCAGGAGTAAATGTTTACAGGATGGAATGCTCAGATTCTAGACATGCCGAGTTCTATCATCATGCCTATTTCTGCCTCCTGGTGAGGCCACAGTGGCTTCTGAGGCATTAGCTGGTCAGTCCTGTCTGAAGATTTGGGGTGGAGAGGTGCTGCCTCCTCACTGATGGCTGGCCAAAGGCAGGTATTGAGCCGGATTTGCTCCAAACTCAGCTTTGGCTCAGGCTGCCGCTGTTGTTTTCTATCTAGATCACAGGAAGTAGCATTGACAATGTGGCCATTAGGAGCTCCAGCCTAACCCACAGTGCCCCACAGCTCCAAGGAAGACACTACAAAACGAGATGGTGAGGAATTATGAGAAGTCAGGGCAGAGGTCCAAACCAATTGCTCACCATCCCTGTAGCAAATGATGGCTCTGCTCAAATTGTATTGATAAGTGATTAAAAAACTATTCAGGACCACTACCGTGATTTTCAGCTTCCCTGAACTTGAAAAAGAGTCTGTACTATCTGGTTTATCCTATGTAACGTTTTGGAGCACTATGGGGAGGAAAAAAAAAACAACCTTCTCACTTGAGATGTCCCTATGATGATAAATTTAAGATACATCTGTTAGAGACTAAGATGGGCTTGTAGAATTTATTTTTAGTATGAATATTTACTATAGTATCAAAAAAAAAAATCAAGTGAGCAGTAAAGTTGCAAACTCAAATACGGTGATAAAAATCTTATCTACAAGGGGTATGTTTGGTTTTTTCTTCTTACAAAATATAGTTCTGGTTTTTCAGAGACTGGAACAAGATAAGAACAAAAGCATGCTACCATAATTTGCATTATTAAACCACACACTACCACCCAGGGGTTGAAAAAGTTTGCCATGTATGTAGTGACCAAATAGGAAAGGAGGAGAACAGACTCATGATGCCAACCTCCTAAAACGATAGCTCCTGAGGTGAAAAAAATTAATTATTGTGAATGGAGTACTCTCACTGAAACTTAAACAAGTAAACAATGCATTTGTAAAAATGTATGTTACTATCTTTTTACCCCTTCTAAGCTTCTCTTTACTTTTCCCCTTCTCTCTCTGTCCTTTTCATGGTTAATCATTTTCAGTGGTATCTGCACTGTTTTTCCTTTTCTCTTTCCTTCCTTCCACTATTTTTCTTGTTAATCTCTTGCCTTTACTAGGGATTGTTTAATGTTCATTCTACCTGTCTCACTTTCCACAGAGAAAATGAGATAAGGGCCGGTTATTGGGGGGGGAAAGGGGGGAAATGGTTGAGCTCTAAACATTTTTAATAAAATTAAATCAAGACCATTTATAATCATTACAGGTTAGACCGCTATAAACTAGACTTCCATGGTCCAGCATTTGTGGATGCTCTGGGACTGGAGCGCTCATAGGGAAAAGCTGGGGACTCCGTGCTTCTAAATTTCTCCCCCACCCTCCGAGAGCTTCTGGAGCTCTGCAAATGCCTATTTGTGGCATTCAATCTCAGCAAGGGAGGGAGCTGGAGAAGCAGTGCTCAGAGGAAGAGGAAGAGGCAGGGCAGCCAGCCGCAAGGCTCCACAGCCTCTCTGACTCTTCCAAGTGCCCCTCTACCTCCCATTCGGTCAGTGCCAGCCCCACAGCTGGTGACAGAGGGGACAACATTGACCTCCCCTGGTCCAGCAAATTTTCTTGTTCAGGATCAGTCAGGTTCCGAGCATGCCAGACCAGTGAAGTTCAACCTGTATTTAAATCATTTTTTAAAAATTGATTTGAATCAGATTGAGGCTTTGTAAAACCAATTGGACACTCTGGGTATGTCTAGACTACAGGCTTTTGTCGACAGAAGTTTTGTCGACAGATATTGTCGACAAAGCTTCTGTCGACAAAGAGCGCCTAGACTACATTCAGTTCTGTCGACAAAGCAAGCTACTTTGTCGACATGGCAGTGTAGACGCAAAGGACAGTTTAGATGCAATAGCGCCTTCTGTTGACAGAACTCTGCCGACAAAAGGCATTATTCCTCATAAAATGAGGTTTACCAGCGTCGACAAAACTGCTGAGTTCTGTCGACGTTATGTCGACAGAACTCAGTGGTAGTGTAGACGCAGGTTTAGTTTTGTCGACAAAAGTCCACTTTTGTCAACAAAACCCTGTAGTCTAGACACACCCTCTATGTTAACACAACTGCATTAAAATTTATAAGGAACTTTCCAAAACTGCTATACATAAGCAAAAGAAAAATAGCTAAGCATGTGTATAAGGATTTGCAGCACTGGAGACTCAAATTGTGTTTTATTAATTTCTCAGGTCATATAAAAACTTTGTAATTTCAAAGCAAAACTGCTTCAGTGTTCACAGTGAAAACGTCAATACATTAAATTTTATATAAAATAAAAACCACCACTAAAAACCCTCAAAGTTTTCAGAAATAGGAACCTAAAAGTTAGGCTCCTAAGACACATGGTAAGGATGTTAAAATGAAAGACAAGTCCAGGATTTCATTAAGTGTGAAACTTAACAAAAAACAACTTCTAATAATCTGAAATTCTACTAACAAGTATGAAACTAAAACAAATGGAAAATATCCACTTTAACCAAGTAAATCTATCAGTATCCAGCTACAGTGGCATTTGGCAGAAGGATATCATTGCTCATTATTTGGGACTATATGGCAATAATACCCTTGAAATCAACTGAAAGGACCCAGGGCAGGATTTTCCAAAGCAATTAGTGTCGTGTCTACACACATAAGTTGTGCTGCTTTCACGATACTGAGAGAGATAAAACAGTGCAACCCTACACATGCAGCAGTTATACCGACATGGCTAATTCCCATACAAAAAAAATGGGGAAACTATACTGGTAAACATTACATTTATAACTGGGTCCACACTAGGGATTGTACGGCTATAACTATTTCATTTTTTAAAAGTTAACATCCCTAACATAAGAGTTACACAAGTACAAAAGCCATATATAAATTATGCAAAAAGATAGATATTTTCATCTCTCTGTTTACAGACTCAGAAAGATAGTAGCTTGTCATTACTGTACGGCCAGAAGTTTATCTTCCATCCTTCATGATTATAAAATTTTCCTTTTAAAAGGAAAGACTGCAAAAGTCTTTAGGGACAACTTCACATTCACCATAGCTAAATGAATTTTTCAAGTCCTGTCTCCACCTCACAGTCGGAAATATCAGTTTTCTATTTGGACATAGATACACCAAAAGTTCCCTACCATGCTACTTCTTGAAACAAATTGAGACAATCAATAGCAGGAACAACTATCAGATGAATGATTAGGATTCAGAATCAATCTGAGGTGAGTAATAAATAATATTGCACATCCATTTCTGGCAGACTAATAAAAGGCAAACAACAACAACAGCAAAAACCCCAAGCCACATCCATTCCCTTTTCCTAAACACTTTCCATGGACATTTTGCTTTAAAAATCTCTCTCCCTTCACCGCTAGTAAAAACCTACTAGCTCTCCAAAATGGAACCTGCAGCAGTTGAAATCCTAATTTATTTGCTTAATACAATAAGAGTGTGCTGGTTTTACTCATATATATTACACACACACACACACACACACACACACACCCCAACACACACCCATACTCATACCCTCCAATTTTTATAAGGTGGCCATGAATTATAATTGATGAGACTCACATGCCCATTTCAACTCCTTTTTCCTGTATTTTGAACAGGACAAGCTGATGAAGCGTATTATTAACTAGGTAAATCAGAAAGCTTTTAAAAAAAAAACAAACACACACACACCACCACAGAACAGCTTACCAATTTCCCGATTAAGAATCTTTTCTTCTCTGTTGCCTACTGGTTCAATGACTTTTAGAAAAGGCTGAAAGAGTCGTAGGTCGCAAAGCCGCCGTGTTTCATCAAAAAATTCTTCTCTTTCTGCTTCTTGTGTAACACTTACAAAAATGTAAGAAGATTCATCTTGAAGCAGCTGGTAAAGAGGGTATTTTCTTGCTTCTTTGAAGAGTTCATGCTTGATATTCAGTAGTGTGGCCTCACGGAGGCATTCTAGAGTCACTATCATTCCGTTAGGTAGGAGACACTCTACAAGGATCCTCGGTGGCATTAAATGGATGCCCCATAGTTCACCAGATGATGGTCTTGGAGGCATTTTCTTAATTTTTTGGTTACCTTACAACAGAAACTGGCTTGAGCACGGATTCCTACAGGGGAAACCTAAATAAATATAAGGCATTAGAATTAGAGCAGCTTTAGTTAGTCTTACATAACCAAGTGACAGTATCAGAGCATTTATGATATACTAGAGGGTTGCGCCCCATGAGCGCTACGATCACCAACTCCCTTCCTCTCTGGGGGTAGACAGCGCCAGCTCTCCCCCCAACCACCACGGAGGTCTGGGCTGAGGCATGGCAGCCTCGGCCTGCTCTCTTCCCTCCTCCTGGCTGCTGGGCCGAGGCTGGGTCTGGATTGGCTCTCTTCCACCCCCCTGCTGCAGTGGAGGAAAGAGGGGGTGGGTTGAAGCTGTGGCACACCAGCCCCACCTCTCTCCCCCCAGCTGCTGGGGGAGAGGCAAAAGCTACAGTGCACCAGCCCCAGCTCCCTGGACGTGATGTCACTATCGTCCTACAGGAAACATTATTTTACACACGTAGAGAGATGAAACTCGGATAGAATAAAAATATTACTGAATTTTACCAGGGATGAGAGGAAGGAAGGCAACCCAAAGTCTGATGTCAAAGGAAGTTCTGGGGAAAAAAAATCCACATTAATATGAATTAAATGGTAAAATTAAATAGCAACACCAATATATGTATGTGGGGCAAACTGACAATATGCACACAGTGATTTGCAAAAATAAAGGGGATTAATTTTTTCTATTAAACCATTTATGCTTGAAATATTTAAATAACGGCCTTCATTCCCCATTTCATTACAGCCCAATAATTAAATTATAGCCTAATTATAACTTACAGGTGACAATGCTTTACAGTTCCAATCTGTATTAAAAATAGTCCCCAACCCGAAGCCACCGCCTACATTCCAAACCCCTCATCCCCATCCCTACCCTAAAGCCAATCCCCCTGGTACAGGGCCTGTACCTTCTCCTGAACCCCAGCCCTAAGCCCCTTCCCAAACCTGGAGACTCCTCACTTCCAGGGCCACCCCAGAGCCCTTACACCTTCCTGCACCCCAAACTCCTGCCTCAACCCACAGCCCCATGCTGTATTCTGAACCCCTTGCTCCCAAACCCCAGCCAAGAGCCCCCTCCTGCACTCTAAACCCTTCATCCTCAGAACCCTTGTACTCCAACCCTTTGTCCTGGCCTCAACTACTAATCCCTGGTCTCACCACACATTACACCCCTTCTGCCCCAGGCCTGAGCCCCCTCCCACAAAAATAACGCTTGACCTCACTTCCATCATATGGTTTTTGTTATGTGCACCAATATGAAGGTGATGTGTTCTCTACACTGATGCACATTACAAAATTCATTCCACTCAGGGGTGGGAAAAAACTTGAGGGAACCCTGGTCACAACTGTGATTATTATAGCCATGCCCCCTTCTCCCATTCTCAAGGTCACAAGCCATTTTATAGAATGTATTTCAGTCTCTTATGACAAGAAATAATTGTGATGGGGTAAGGTCACAGATGACCTCTTGGGGGTGATGTCCAGGGTGCTGACAAGGCCACTGCCACTCGCCATGCTGCTCTCTGGAGCTTTTCACTGCTTTGTCTTGCTGGGCCAGCTCCCTGGTTTCCCACAGCCAAGGCACTGAGCTGAAATCTCTGCCCCCGCCCCAGAGAAGCAGTACAGACCTTCAGGTCCAAGAAAAATGGAGTTTTGGGCCCAGCCTCCTGGGATACCACTCCCCAAAAAGAGATCAAAACCCCAACTGAATTATTTAGGTAAGCCCCCTTTAACAATGGAATGGGAAACGTACACACTGATTGCTTTCCCCAGGTAGCAAGTAATTATTTTGGGTTAGATAGAAAATAAAAGAAAAAAAAAGCAGTAGGATTTAAGTGGTAATAAGCGATAACAGGCATAGCAAAGCATGAAGCAAACTCAAAATAACAGAAAATGCTTAGCTACTTCTATACTAAAACTTCAGTAAAAACTTACTACAAACTCACCCTAAAATGGTTTCTTTCCCAGCGAAGCCTACCAAACCAGGGAAGTCTCCTTTTCCTTGGGGTCTCTGGTTCCCTCCCTTGGGTGTGCCACACCAGTCAGCAAAAAGACAAGACTCCTACTTTCCTATTATGTTTAAAGATTCTCTTTTTGTATGGGAAGTCACCTGGCCAGTGAGGTGGACATGTGACTTCCCCAGACCAACCACTGCTAAGACTTAAAAAAAGACAAGTGATCGTTTAACAGTTGGTCATCGGAACATTAAGGGTAACACTTGTGATAACTTTCATTCACACATTTAAAAACCATAAAGCACTCCACACTCCATCTGTCTAAATTTGCACTCAAGAATGATACATACACCAAAGATAAACAGATCCAGTGGATTAAGACATGAAGATTGATAGGTTACATGAACAATTTGTCCAAAGCACTTTTGAGTTACGTGCATTTGTGTTCATAAGTCCATTTCATAAAGCATGGGTGGGGGTGGGGGAAGTCCGTTACAATAACGATGCAAGAAATTCTCACGTTCCAAAGTGCAGTAGATAAATAGATTATGAAAAGTATAAAGCCAAAAAAGAAAGCAAGAAAGCAATTATACTCATTAAAAGAGTATGTCATACAACCAATGACGTGATAGGATGATTATATGTTTCCCCATGTCATTTTTTGTCCCTGGTCAATGAAGAGTAAGACTCCAGTCTACACTATCAAAATTATGGCTGTCTAACATGTACTCAGTTAAATCGAAACACAAAAGGTTTTTTGTTTTTTATTTACCAATAAGGTCAAAAGACAAATATTGGGGAAATAACATTACAACTAAACAGCCAATAGTATCGAAATTTGGGTCTCTAACATGTTCAGAGCATGTTTTCTGACCACATATGCTAACCAAGTGATAAACATGGATATGTCCAAATCATCCTATTCCCCCATGTTTACAGATGTTACTTTTTGTTGAACAGACTGATCTAGTTCTGTAAAAACATTAAAGTGCTGAAAAGTGTATGAGTTTTTAAAAATGCATTTTTATTACAATATAACAAAATTCAGCAAGTTTTGGAAGGCCCACAGTAATTTTTAAAAATAAAACAGACAATATTTACTAGAACAAATCTTAAAATAGTCAGTGTGATTGTTCTAAAATGGTGAGTTGCCCATTGACCTACTTGCTGTGCTCTCTCTCTGAAAACATTCATACTATAACAGCAGCTTGGTTTCATTTCTCTTCTGATCATAGGAGCCAGAAACCGATTGGCGGGACTGGTGCATACATTACTCCCATGAGCACATTCACTCCATCTGTGCATGCAAGCATATCATCATGCATTGTATTTGGACAGTAAAAAGGATTTCTGTTTACATTTTCAATGTATAATTAGCAGCTTGCATTTGTCCTGTTTTGGGAAAACTGGAAGGCTGCCTGGAACACAGGAAATCAATTTTGCTCTTAACTAGCTCAAGGAATAATACTCTAACCAATTATTTTGGAATATGTATTACATGACACAATTAAGGGCAGGGATAAGCACATCCAAATCATTACAATCACCCCTCCACCAGAATTTTGAGAAACTACAAGTAGCCCACAAACCAAACTCACAGCATCCCTCATTGACTAAACTACCTACCTGGAGATGGGTAACAGGGGAAGGATCACGTGAGGATTACCTGTTGTGATTCCTCCCTCTGGGACATCTGGTATTGGCCAATGTCGGCAGTCAGGATACTGGGCTAGATGGACTTTTGGTCTGACCCAGCATGGCCGTTCTTATGTTCTTACTCTTTGGGCTGGTTACATCTTCCTGGACCACAGTATAGTTTCATTCTTTCTCCCCACTAGCACCTGTTGCAATTATTTCTAAGGCACAGTTATATTTTAGGGTGTGCCCAAAATTATAACAGTAATGTGAGTATGCATTTAACTTCTATCTTTGTTCCTCTGCTTATTGAGTAGTTAAAAAAAAAGTCCCACACTTTTCTGTTTGATATATATACACACATTTTTCCAATTCTAGGAGATATGCTATACTTATAGTATTTTTCAAATTGATTATCTGTGTCATCTACTTTCCGGTGATCTAGAAATGACCATCAAGAAGACCCAAAATGCAGAGTGATGCATTCTAGCTTTTGTTATCTTATATGGTATAGCCTCAGAGTTAAAAACTGACTAGTCAACCATACACCTTTTTTGGAAATTGAAGCAAGCAATCAGGCAGTAGCAGAGGAGAAAAAAAGCAAATACAATACAGAACTACTAAAAAAGTAAAGAGAAAGTTAAGTTTTCTGTGCATGTTTCATTTAAATTAAGATGGTTTTAAAAACATTTTTATTTTGCACAAAATTTCAAAGCAGTATTAAGTCACTGTTCAGTCAAGCTTTTAAAAGAACAATTATAATGTTTTGTTCAGTTATGAACAACCTCCATTCCCAAGGCATTTGTAACTCTGAGGTTCTACTATATCTATCCAGAACAGGATATTCTTATAAGATAGTCCCATTTTTCTCAGGACACTGCAATAAGGGCAGAATTAAAGTAGTTTGGCTATCTTAACTGTGAATTTGTATTCAATAAAATGTTTCATCATAAGGTTTAGCTGGATGAAATTTTCAGCTGAAATCTTTTTTGGTGAAAACGGAACATTTGGCAACACCAAAATATTTCGTTAATTCAAGTAAGTTTTGCTGATATGTTTTTATTAGGGAGGGAAGAACCTAACCTCCCAACCAGACTAAACATTCCATTTAGATATTTCTGATTTTTCCATTCTGAACTTTTCAAAGTGTACTTCAGTCTTGTTTAACGTTTTAAAATAGCTAAATGTGATATTTCATCTGACCAGAAAATAGATCTTTTAAACTTTTCAAAACCATCAGAAAATTGAAAAAACAGTCTTTTGCCCAGCTTTAGTCAAACTGTGGTATACTGTTAACCAAGACTCCTGGCCTAATTTTTGTCATGAACATTCATGTGAGGGCTTTGTAAAGTTTACTGTTATTCATTCCTTAGGCACTTCTTTCCTCAAAAGCAAGAATTCCTGTAGAAACTAAGTCTTTCAGTTGAGGTCCACAAGACAGAGATTCCAAAAGGATTACAGAATAGCAGGAACACATGGAACAGTTATATCCAAAGTGAACCTCAAGGATTATGAAACCCACTCAAACTCTCATCAGGCAGGAGAAGTGATCTGATCAAAGGAAACCACAACTTTCTGAAACTTGCAGGAATCTCTGCCAAAAGATAAGCAGCAGATAAAAGACTGTTTGTGACAGGCTACCCCGTTGCCATAGAACATTTAAACAAATAAGGGAGAAAAAGATCAATAGTGGAGCTATGTTGTCTAATTAAACTTTGTTTCAACAGAAAACACTGATTTGATGAAGAAAGACGTTTCAGTGAACCTATTACAGATTTGACTTAACTTTTGTCAATGGAAACATACCAGAGGGCCTGTGTTCTAGGACCGATAGCTCCACCATAATGAACCTACTAGGGTTCTCATTGCTAGGCTCCCCACTACATTGCAGCCACAGACCAGGAAGCCTAACACTCAGCCCAGGCTCTTGCTGGACCTCTTGGGAAGCCCAGCAACCTAAGGGCTTCTATAGCCCTTATTTCTAACTAACATCCTGAAAGATCTAGGTAGCTTGGTTCCACCAACTGCACTTCTGCTTTCAGACACAAAGCAGGGAACCTGGAAGCCCTGAAAATCCTAGCTCAAACAAGGGGTCTCAGCTATGAAGTTGAGAACCTGAATTCCTGGACCAGCTCCCAGAGTCTGCAGCTCTAGAACAGCCTCACCACCCAAATTGCACTGGGCTGAGAAGCGCTAATCAGAAAGTCTATCCAGAGATGATTTTTGCTTAAACCAACTGGTTAAAGTCTACCCACATAAAACAGGCCTTGAGTCTGATACAATACGACCATTCTTATTTTATATTCTTCACAACCCCAACTGCAATAAATGTGATGTTAATGTTAAAGCTAAAAATTCTATAGCAGAGTTCTATACAAGAGATTAAACCTTTGCTAAATCCCACAACTGCAAAAATCTAATACATGAGATCCTGCCCAGGATATAATAATGGACCACCCAAAAGCTTTTTTAACCGCTTGCAATAATTTCCATGTCTTCCCAGAAGTAAAGGTGGCTGTGGTTCAGATCTTTTAGTGCTTTCACCAAAACATTCTTTCAGGAAAGAGAAACTATTTCAGGAGCTAGTTAATAAATCAGAGTCAAGCAAGCTTAAGATTTGTTCTAATATCAGGTAGCTAAAGAGGCTAAAACAAAGTTACTAGATAAATCAATTGATTAGGTTCAAATTCAACTATTGGTGTGGGCAGAGACTAGCCCCAATCATGTTACAGCAACTCAAGCTGTAGAATTTCTTCAGGATGGTCTCTCTCGGTCTAAAAATATATAGTTTTTAAAGTTTATGCACTATCAAATCGGTCCTAGCAATAACAAAATGCAATAGCTGGCTGTCAGGACATCAAAACAGTCCTTACAGTGGCCCTCTAATGACTCTTCCATTACAGAGGGTTCACATCTTGGGACCTAAATTTAGTCATGGAAGCAATGACTAAATGAATCTGTGTTTTGGCTGTGCCACCAAAACCAAATGATTCTAAAGAATGGATGCAGCCTTAAACCCAAAGAGAAACATGCTCTTCCATGTTTCCAAGGTAGAAACATGCGCATGGTCTCAATGGCATATTTCCTTTTGCAGATGTGACAGAACCACAGATTCAATTTACCCAACATCAAGGCTACTCATGAAATTCTCATCTGCATGGTCTATGGTAAAAAAAAATTAAAATTGTCAGTGTTGGTAATCAAGGAATATAAGTTACAATTAACAGTTACATTAACTGGAATTTTTTCAACTCTGGATGTTATCGAAGTAATGGACTCTTCTTTGGGAGAAGCTAAACTTGTATCAAGAATCAACATATCTGTGTTTCCCCAAAAGCAGGCTGAAGATTCACTGTCCAAATCCACTGACCAGGTTTTGGGGGAAGAGGAAGGAGAAGACTACTTCCTTCCCATCACCTTTCCTTTATCCTGAAAGTTGCTTGTCACCAATGCATAAGTACCACTACAGTTCAGATTTTGCAAGGTGAAATCCTATAATATTCACTAACTAGCATACTACTTTGTAGGCCCAAAAGTTCACCCAACATCCTTCCTTTAAGAGCCTCTCTCTTGCAAAAGGAAGCAAGCAGTAGGACCTAACCAGGAAAGACAAAAGCAGCTCCATACATTAACTGTTGATGTGGTGATTTGCTAAATTAAAAACAGTGTTTCTGTTTGTAAAATAACATTACAGTTTAATAATTATGAATCAAACTGAACACATTTGCAACACTAAATGCATGCAATATTCCCTAATCCTTTGAAATCCAATATGCAAACTGTCACTCACACATTTCACTTCCATTATCTTATCCTTACAGATAAATGAACCATTCAGTAAAACATGTTACATTTCCAAATATTCAAATCAGCTAGCTTCTCTTATTGCAAGAAGAGAATTCATTAAATTGCTTTGATAACACAGGCTTGAACAGCTTCCTATAACAATTATTTTGTTTGATATGCATCCCACTATGACTTTTATACAGATTTCTTCCCAGTTACAAATTCATGCACACAATCCACAAAAACAAAAAAACCTCCTATAATCATAATTGACCAAACCCTTATTCCTCCATATGAAACATACGCCAAAAAACGTTTACGCCAGCGGCCACATACGGCCTCATCAGGGTTCTATGTGTGGCCCATAAGACATTTTTTCAACATTGCACATGCAGGGTTGCCAGATTCTGGTGGTTTCCGTCCATCCTTACTGGTTTTACTCGAGGGACAGGTATGTAAAGCAAGTGCATATGAACAAGGTGCCTGCTGCTTGCATGCAACTTTGACTGGATGCAGAGAGCACAAAGCTCTTACAATTGAAGGACTGCTATGGTTCAGGTGGCACACTTCACAAATTCTAGGTACACAAATTCTAAAGTAGCTATACTACTTTATCCTGGGAGACTGTCTTAGTTACGACAATCTTGTGGCCTACTGAGATGAAGTAGGGCTATTAGCTAGCCTTGGCTGCCCATCACTGGTTTACACTGTTCTCAGGATTAGACCACCATATAGACCACCATACAGACTTCATTATCCCACTCTCAACACTAACCAAAGTTTTTCAACAAAAGATTCCCCAAAAGCAAAATTCTGGGAGAAACAAGAGTTGCTTTCCCAAGGGAAAAATATTACTCGCTCTTCAGGATGTAAAGCTTTTATCCATTGGTGCCAGTATGTCAGGCCTCAGAAATTTCAAACTGCCCGGACTACAGAACAAAATGTTTTCTTCCCTTAAGTCACATCAGTCACTCCAAAACCTAGCACAATGAGAGTTGGCAGCATGGTCAGTGTCTGCTTTTGCTGCTATCCAAATCTGCTCTGTGGTGACAGTAAAACGGCCTTCAGTTTAGATATTTTCAGTGATACTCTTTGTTCTTCCGGCCTGGCTGCTGGTATTTTTCTAGAATACAAAGACTAAGCATCTAACAGAAAGACTTGAAGTTGTCCTCTGCTTTAACACTGTTGATGGTAAAATTATTTTTGTTGCACTACATTTAAAGAACTTCCTCATGTCTTTGTACTTTTCATTTCATCCATTTGACAAGTTATGCAAATAAAGTTTCCCATGCATTCTTGTATGGCTGCAAACAGCATACAGTAGTAAACGAGAGGGTTTGGGAGGTATAGGGACCCTGCTGAAATGGTTGTCTAGTCTTGCTCAGATCATTGTTTAAACAAAAACCACAACCTCCAAGCCTTCCACTATTGGTACTAGAGGTAAAGCTGCAACAACAGAGAATTAAAAGTCTCTTTTATGCCAATATATATGCAACAAAGGGATGTAAAATCCTGGTTTAAAAGTTGACTGGTTAAATGGAATATTTAACTTGTTAGCCACAATACCACAGAAGGGGGCCATACCATGCCACTTCCAGCTAACTCAGTAAGCATGCTGATAAAGTGCCTGCTTACCAAGTAACTGGTTAACCCTTTACATCCTGTATGTCAAAGCACAATATAAATCAGTTAAGCAAAAGACTATGTTTAAATTGATAAGAACAGTGTTCCTCAACTCTGTCTGAAGCCCAATGTCCCTGGAGCCTGAAACTGTGAAGATAGGTACAAAACAGCCAGTAAGATGAGGAAGTCTGAGGTTCTAGGGCAGTGAGGCCTGCTCATGTGTGGTGTGTGTTTTTTAAAGGCACTTACATTTGTCACTATACACACTCATTGTTTCAGGGACAGAAGGAAGAGGGTCCTAGGAAAGAGGCTCTTAGAATTTTAGATTACCTCTTTTCCCCACCTCTGTAACCGTGCTTTTCCTAAAAGGACTCCAAAGAGTAAGCAAAAGGTTGGAACTCCTGCTTTTTTCTCTCAGACATTTTCTTCTAGTTAGTTTCCCTTTCAAAGTTTAAGAGCCCTGCTCCATTGTGGCTGGGCTCTGGCTGACAGTGCTCTGCTATATCTATAAACATGTTAAGTGAGGTGAGCAAGCACTGGAGTTTTTTCAAGCTGTTAGGGCAAGTCTGCAGTGCTGAAGAAACAAAGGAAACAATAGCAAGCACCTTTGCAGATGTAAAAATAAAACTATCATGTTTCCTGCCTGCTTATGGGTCTGAGTTTTTACGCTTTTATAATGGGGACATGAACATTTAAATGAGAGCACAGAGGATAACGCAGTGATAAAGGCATGCTGGGACAGTACTGTAAAGTAGAGAGCTTAATTTTTTGTCTATGGAAAAAAAGGGGCAATTCTCTGCCCTTTTGGAAACAGTAAGGCATGGTGATGGGAATGAGGGTTTATTTCTGAGTTTGTTTTGTCTAAAACTAATTGGCATGGTTGCCAAAGAAGAAACTAAAATACAATCTATGGCTATGATGAAGTTGTTTGCTTATATTTTTCCCTTCTAAATTTTTTTTTACCCTTCCTGAGATTTTGGAACCCAGACAGTAAACACAGTCTTTCAAAGCAGAAAATGCTGGCACCCAGAGTGAAAAGAAAAAGAAAAGTGATTAGAAAGAAAGTTCAAGTTGTAAGTGTTTTGTGGATTTTATTTCACACAGCACTTTATGCAGTATCTACAAACAGAACTCAAAAATTAATTTGGGGGAAAAACATGAACCCAGGCATTTTTGTCCCACGTGTATACACTGTGTATACACAGTTAATCTAGTGGTAAGTAACTAAGCTAGCTTCACTTGGGCATAAATAGCCATACAACACAGCCAAGTTCCTGCCCTTTCTTGTGATGCACTAGTGTTCTCTGGACATCTGGGAGCATAGCCCTCGATTCTGAAGCAGCCAAGAGTGACTCTCCACAGCAGAGTGTTAGTAGTTACCACCACTTTACCTATTCACTGCAGCTGGGTTCAGTGTCAAGGGGAGTTCAGAAACAAAGACACTCAGAAGGCCCCTGCTCTGGAGAATACAACTAGAAGGGACTTCAAGAGGCCATCTAGTCCAGTCCCCTGCACTCAAGGCAGAGCTAAATATCAGGGTTGGTCTACTCTAGGTGATAGCAGGTTAGACAAATACCTCTTAAATAAAAATCTTGATTGAAATTTCACCTAGGCAATTTATTCCAGTACTTAACTACTTGGACACTAGGGAAAAACTTCCCAAGTGTCAAACCTAAGCCACCCTCACTGCAATTTAAGTCCATTGCTTCTTGTCCTATATTCAGAGGCTAAAGACAACAAATTTTCCTCCCTCCTTATAACAGCCTTTTATGTCCCCACAATCTTCTCTTCTCCAGAGTAAACAAACCTCCCCCTATCTCAATCTTCTCTCATAAATCATGTTTTCTAGACATGTAATCATTTTTGCTGTTCTTTTCTGGGCCTTCTCCAATTTGTCCACATCTTTTCTGGAATGTGGTACCCAGAACTGGACACAATACTTCAATTGATGCCTAATCAGTACAGAATAGAGCAGAAGAATTATTTTTCCTGGTAATACCAAGGATGTTAAATTGTGGGTAACTGACTAACTGAATAGTCAATGCATTTTGCATCAACTATTCGACAGGGCAATTCCACCTTTGAAGGTGAAAGGGCCATGTGGAGCCCAGCTAGCTTAGTTACTTATCACTGGATCAGCTGGGGACTCCCTGCTGAGACTGGGCTCCATGCAGTGCTAGTGCTGCTGCTGCTTTGAAATGCTGCGCAGCCCCGTGTCAGGCTTCCTCCCAGTGTTTCAAAGTGGCAGCCCTGCATGGAGCCCACGATCAGCTGGGGAGTTATTAGCTGATCCCAGGCTCCTGGCAATGCTCCCTCTTTGAAATGCTGCCACTTTAAAGTACCCTCTTCTTCCCCCCTTACCGCCTCTTTATGATTGAGGCAGAAAAGGGGGGAGGAGGAGAGGGAGTGACTAGTCAACAAGCTTGTTGACTATCTGATAAGTATTTGCTTATCGGATAGTCAACTAGTCCTTCACATCCCTAGGTAATACATCCTAGAATGAAGTTTGCTTCTCTTGCAAAAGTGGTGAAAGCGAAAGGATAAGACTTCTTGTACCCTCTCTTAACAAGGGTGATCCACAGTAAGTGAAAGACTATAAGAAACTGAAGCAACTAGCAGTTATTCCTTCTTCTATGCTTTCAGTCTCTTCATGATATTGTAGGTTCTCCTGAGGGAGTGTCCTTTGCCATGAATGGAAATGAAAGATGACAAGACTCAGCTGGGAATTTCAGAAGTGCTGTCAAGCAGTTCTAGCAAGTTATGAAACTTGCTGTGCACTCCTCAATGGGTCAGATAGCTCCCATAGTGTCAGGGGAGTGCCAGGCCCTCAAGGAATTCATATTTCTGAAGCAAAATGCAGGACAATGTAGCACTTTAAAGACTAACAAGATTTCTGAAGTAACTGTTACCTCAGTTTATGTTTATTGGTTGTGTTGATGGGAAATGGCGAAGTAGTGTGTTATGAGTCCTGATTAAATCAGACTAAGGCAGTTGGTTCGAACATCTATCTTAGTTCAAACTAAGGAAGTTTGCCAGTTGAAAGTTTCCCGCCTTTCTGAGTTGCACATGGTACTACTGCTTTGCACCCCATTCTAATCCTTTGCACTCAGTACCAAATGTTGTGCACACGACCCAAATTGCTCTGCACTTGGCTCAAAATAGTTGCACACGGTTCAAAATGTTATGCACCCCACCCGCAAAAGAGTGCACTCAGCACCTCTGGAATTTTCCCGCCAGAGAGTGCTTAAATACCCCGGTTCAATAGAGGTTCGGGTTCCCTTTTTCTTGTTGGGTTCCTGATTGCGTTTGGTTCTGTAGAATGTCTCTCTGTGGTAGTGTAAATGGTAGAATGAGTGAGAGAATGGGAGAGGGTGAGCTTAGTCAGTGTAGCGTTTGTGAGAGTGTGGTGGGTTCTATTTTTGGGTTTTTATGCCTGTGGAGAATTCCTGGGTGAAAACCATTTGGATCCCATTGGATTATTACCGGAGAGCGGAAGGCCTTCGACTTATAGTCCATATCCCATCCATCATCAAACCAGAGGGTCTGATCCTGAAGTTGAAACAAAATACAGGACTATGTAGTGACATTGAGGGATCTCCTCACTGTTCCTCTGCCACGGCTTGCAACTAGTCCAGGCATAGCGGTCATGAGCACCTCAGCTGTTCTAGGCCACGTGAATGTAATGTATAGTCCTATTGTTTAGGGGTCTTTACTATCTACTTTGTATTCGGGGTTAGAGAGGAGTACAGAGTTATTGTTATATGCTGTTCTGTCTTTTAAATTTATAATATATGGTTTGGCCCCAAATTGAGACTCGGAGTTTTATTTGGAAAACCACGCGCCAGTGATAGATAGGGCCACGAGTAATCAGCCTCAGGTGATCCCTTCTTCTGGGACTTGGGATATTTACCTGACTTCATTACAAGTCAGGGCGTGTCCAATTAGGTTTTAAATTAATCGTTACTGTGTCCCAGGGTAACATAACAGTCTTCCTGTGACTGGGTCCTCACCACACTGGCAGTGGAGTTTTGAGTAGCAGTCCCAAAAAAAAGAGGTAGATAAACAGTGGGCTAAACTAAATAGAATCTTAAATGGGGAGAAGATGTCAGACAGTAAAAGGTTCTTTAATTTATCAAATCATAATATGATCCAAAGGCTAAAAGATAAAGGTAGGTCATTTTTCACCTTATCTGTAGCATGAGTTTAACAGTAAGTGTAATTAACCATTGCAATAAATTTACCAATAGTTCAGGTGGATTCTCTATCACTTAAAAATCAAGACTGGAGGGCTTTCTAAAAAAAACAAAATAAATTGATGTGATGTACAGATTACTGGGTGAAATTCTACGGCTTGTGTTACACAAGAGGTCAAACTAGATAAAAAAAATGGAGTAAGCTGAGCCACTCTGATTCTTTCCTGGTGAGCTGGTTATCCTGGGAACATAAGAGGAAAGGTGAGAAGGCATCCAAGGACCATTAGAAGTCAAATTATTTAGCCTGCAAAGTGGGGAGATTAAAGTCATTACTGAAAGCCTCACTTTAGCTTTAATCTACAGATAAACCAGCCCCTGGCTGAAAGTGCCACTACCTTCAGATTAGAAGGTTGTACATGCGATGCAGAATGGGATAGAGTGGGATAATGTACAACACCTGAATAGGAGCCTACATTTAATTCTGCATGCATGATAAATCCTGAGCTCTTCTGTCTAACCACATAACCAAGCTAAAACCCTAATCAATATTTGAAGCTTTTGAATTGGATTTTATCTCCCTGCCTTGAATGCCATAAAATGAAAGTTGGAGACAGACAACTTTGGGATAAATTTATTTTTCACCTTATATATAGCAGTTTAATAGTAAATACATTAAGTATAAAGGCAAAAATAAGAAAATACTGACTATTCCCAACTTGGTGAAACTTAGCACAGAACACCTCACAAAACTATGAAAATGAAATTCAATCAGTTTTAGGGCTTTGAGTAAGAGGATTCTAATTGTAGACCAAGTTTCACTGCAAGACATTATTAAAAAAAACCCACAAAAACAACCGAACAAGGGGGCTGTGCCCCCTGCTTACCATGCTCATCAAACCCCTTCTTTGGGGGTAAGCAGTCCCGGATCTTCCCCCTCCCCCAGCCGCCTGATGAGAAAGGATTGCTACACCAGTACATTTCAACCCATGCTTAAGAAAAAAACAAAAATGTTGTTAGGATAATTTTACTACATTAGGACTAAGCAATTGTAATACAATGGTGGCATGATTAAGTTTTCACACCATATTCCCCTTCAATACACAGCCTGGGGAGGCTAATAATTCAACCAGCAGATCAAATGCAGTAATGAATCCTTGTCATGTGCCACCTGAGGCACATTGCGCATACCCTAGAAGTAGCTGCATTACAGGACAAGGTAATATTTATGCAAGCTATGACTACTCATTTACAGTTGTTTTTTGAAGCACTGCAGTGGAACTATTTTATGAAAGCCAAACCTATTTTCTTAAAAACAAATTCACTTAACAGCTTAGTTTTAGGAGCTGTGAACATGTGCGTCATTGGGTTCTTCGACCAATGCAAATATGTGTAACATCTCATTTCTAAATATTACTGGTTTATAACAATATGTACTGAAACATGACAAAATCTTTGTAATTATGCCATTGCAAGTGGCAGCAGAGCTCTCAGTTTTCACTTGAACATATGCCCTTTACAAGTTCCAGAATTAAATTTATGTGCAAGCCCAATAGCTGTAATTGACTGATACAAATGTTTTCCACAAATAGAATGGAACAGCATTTTCCTATTTTATTTCCTATTTACTTCCTCAATACAACAAGTAGTTTTATTAATACCTGAGCCATGCAAAGATGTTAGTGAAACCTGGTACTCAGTTAAAGTCTCTTTTAATGTCTCATTTAAAAGCTGACAGATTCAGAGGGAAACTTCCAACTTCACTTGCAGCCATTATTCCTTTCACGAGGACTACAGCTACTGAACTAGGAATTCACTTATAGAAACAGTTTGTACACCAGAAATAGGATTGGGTGTTTTGCATGTTAACAATTTTATGACTTAAAAGTCTTAAGAGGGGTAGCCAAAGCAGATTTTTAAAAATCTGTATTTTCATCCTCCCACAGCTCTCTCAGCATCATGGAATTTCCACAGTCAGCAGTAATAGCACAAGTAGAAATCTGTTATAAAAAGTTTGTGGTCAAAAGTTAGGTTAGTGCTTTGCAAGCTAAACATTGTTAAATGATAACCAAAAACCACAAACACACTAATAACAGTACAGGCTCAAAGTTAAATGCTGATTTGCCTCACCACAAAAGCAAGCCTACACAATAATTTTCACAAGAACAATGATACCTTGCAAAAAAGCCTCCTCATCTCCAGGTATCTCCAAGAGAAGAGTGAGGGGGGATTTGATAGTAGCCTACTACCTGAAGGGTGCTTCCAAAGAGGATGAAAAGAGGCAGTTCTTGGTGGTGACAGATGACAGAATAAGGAGCAATGGGGGAGTTGCAGTGGGGCAGGTCTAGGTTGGATATTAGAAGAAAAACTATTTCACTAGGAGGATGAAGCACTGTAATGGGTGCTACCTAGGGAAATGGTGGAATTTCTATCCCTAGGAGGTTTTTAAGTCAAGGCTTGACAATGTCCTGGCTAATATGATTTAGTTAGGTTGGTCCTGCTTTTAGTAGGGGATTAGAATCAACCTCCTGAGGTCTCTTCCAACACTATGATTCTATAATCAGTATTTATCCACTATTTATTGCTGCCCTCCTTGTGCATAAAGTTTCATGTCCACACTCTTAAGTTCATTTGCATCTTTGTAGAAGATGGCCTCATTCTTGCAGCAAGGTGAATTTCTTTCAAAAAGCATTAAAAACAGCAGTGTTGTGACATG